AGGGGGAGGATGTGTTTGCTGACTGACAGCAATATGAGTACTGGCTAAAAATAAGGATCTGTTATCTCCCTCCCTCCCAATGAATATGCTAGAGGCATTTAACCCTTGGTAGTACAAGGGGAGATATACAATATAAATCCAAATTATATATAAAACATTTATTAAGTTGTCCATGGCATAAAGGTACTCGGCTATAGGTAAATGCATTATATACAGTCATAATTATTAATAAAATGGTCCCAAAGACCATAAAAAACAATAAACATCAATATACACGAGGAATAATGTTTCCAATAAATGTGAAAAATCATAATTAGTAAATAATAAAACATTCTAATATATATTCACATTAAAATGTGTAAAATGTGTAATAATCAATATAACCCAGATTGATCCTTATAGATTCATTAATTAAAATTCTATAAAATAAACGTAAAATTTATTTTAGCTATTAGCTATAAAGCAATTGATATCGACCTCTATGTTGTGACCACGTGGGTATAAAGTATCTAGTTCGTATACCCATCGGGTTTCTGCCTGTGAGACAGCTCTAGTTTTATGAAGTCCTCTCCAATGTGGTGATATCACCTCTATACCTATAAACTTCAAAGAAGAAGGATCCTTATTATGGCACAGTTTGTAGTGGTTAGAGAGTGAGTGTTCCCTATATCCCTTCTTTATATTGTCACGTGCTCTCGTAGGCGGTCACGTAGGCGTCTGGTGGTCCGACCTACATATTGTTTGTTACAAGGGCACCAGAGGAGGTAAACCACGTACTTGCTATAGCATGATATAAATTGTTTAATAGCATAGGATCTCCCCGTTGTAGATGAATCAAAAGTGTCTACTCTCCGTTTCCTAGTATTATTGCACTTACACATGATGCACTTGTTGCATGGGTGAAACCCTTTTAATTCATTAAAAAATGTAAACTTAGTAGGAGGATAAACCACATTAGATGCGATTTGGTGCCTAATGGTGGAAGCTTTCCGAAAAATTACTTCTGGGTTACTAGGTAATATTTGAGATAAAACTGGATCCATTTTTAGGTTATTTTTGATTATTCTTAACACTTTTGTCTATACTGTACAGAAAAAGTGGTTACGAAAGGACATACTTTCGGTTGTACCCCTTTGGGTTTGTGTGAGAGCATTTCATTTCTGTCTAATACAGCCACTTTATGTAAGGTGTTATCCAAACTGGTTTCTTTGTAGCCCTTTTCGAGGAATCTACCTTTTAATATATTAGCTTGAGACCAATATGTCTGTAATTCCGTACAATTGCGTCTTATTCGCATGAATTGGCCCTTCGGGATATTTTCTAGCCAGTTTGGGTGGTGGCAGCTATTTAGTGGAATGTAGTTATTCTGGTCAGAAGCTTTAAAGAAAGACTTAGTTACTATCTTCCTGTTATAATTAATCAATGTGAGATCCAAGAAGTTTATCTCTTGTTGGCTATATGTATAAGTGAGACGAATATTTAAATCAATATTATTTAGTGTTGTAAAAAAAATTTATCAGAGCATCTTCCTCTCCATCCCATAGGAGGAAGATGTCATCTATATATCTCTTGTACATGACTAACTCGGGCCAATCTCTCGGGCATCAGTCATATATTACATCCTCCTCCCATCGTGACATGAAGAGATTCGCTAGGCTGGGGGCAAACTTAGCCCCCATTGCAACACCCTTGATCTGTAAATAATAAGATTCATTAAACCAAAAATAGTTGTGATTCATCGCAAATTGTAATAGTTCAAGGATAAAATGTTTCTGTGTAACGGGCAAGGAACTATAATTGGTCAGGTAGAAATCTGTTGCCTCCATACCATCAGCATGGTCAATGCTTGTGTAAAGTGAGGCTACATCTGCCGCGACCAAAAACATACTAGGTGTTGTATTCAAAACCTTGACCTCATTTAATACCTGTTTAGTATCCCGCAGATATGAGGGCATCTTTATGACCAAAGGTTGTAAATGGAAATCTATATATTCCCCAATTTTGGACACAAGAGACCCTATACCGCTGACTATAGGACATCCAGGTGGATGAATCGGGTCTTTGTGTATTTTTGGAAGAATATATAGTATAGGAAGTTTGGGTACTGTGGGACATAGAAATGCTTTTTCTTTTTTATTAATAATCTCTTTCTCAAAGCCTTTTTTTTGATAACAGCTAAGAACGTTTTCTTATACCCTGTAAGCGGATCCTTAGGTAATAATTTATAGGTAGTTTCATCATTTAATAATTTGTTAACTTCCTCCACATAATCAGTCTTATTCAAAATAACTACTCCGCCTCCCTTATCTGCTGGCCTAATTACTAGGTCTTTCTTTTCTAATAGTGATTTAATCGCTGATCTGTCACCGGAGCCATCATATATACGCTTAGTGGGTATCCTGTCAAGATCCTTTAAGACTTTCTCTTTGAAACCGTTGATATATGAATTTGATTGGGGAGGGGGATTAAAAGTAGATGCATTTTTCAGGTTAGAATGAACCATGCCATCAGAGGGCTTAACCTCAGCAATGGGTTTATTATGAAAATACTTTTTGAGCGACAATTGTCTGATGAACTTATGCATATGTATATATGTGTCAAATTTATTCAGCTTGGTGGCAGGTGTATATTTCAACCCCTTATCCAAAAGAGTAAGTTCATTAGTTAATTGGACATTGCTCAAATTGAAAATACCTTGGCCTTTTATATTCTTCTCTTTTTTGGGGTGTCCCTTTGTCCTTCTTCCTCCTCTCTTTCCCCTCCTGTGTCTCTTCTTTTTCGTGGGTGGCCTACCTCTAAAAAAGGCTGCCTAAACTGATTGGGCTGTTGGGAATTCTTATGTGTCGAATTGTATGGAGGTTTATTATATCCCTGATGATTGGAATGATTCTGATTATCAGTTTGTTTGTGCACTGCTGTTGGCCTCCCCTCTGATGAAGTGCCGTAGCACGAAAGGCCTCAGGAGGAGCCGGCAGCACGTGTGACGTCATACACTGCCGCAACCACGAGGAGGTCCAGCGGCCATTTTCCTTGCTGGGTCAGTGCAATTTCTTTCCACTAATGCTGGCAATATATTTTGTACACAAACCCATGGATTCTATATATTTTTATGTGACCAATAAACTAGCTTTACCTACTACACTATTGGCACTCTTTGTCTTGACCCTCTTCCTGAGGGTTTCAGTTTTACAGCAGCTGGTTTCCAGTATATCTTATCCAGAAGAGGGAGCCCTTTCACCTAGGCTGTCCATCCACTGGTTCAGTGTGCTTTCTGAGTCCTGCTGTATATCACTACACCCAAGGCTGATGATCTACCTGTGAGAGATGTATTGTGCGTTTTGCTGATTACCTGGATTGATGATCATTTACATGCGCATTTTTTCTACACAGTTCCAGTCACCCTATATATTATAAGGAAGCCTTTTCACTTCAAGTCCTTTTTCAGATTTTATGAAGATTCCATGAACTTACTTTATTCATTCATTTATTTTTTCACTTTTATTCATTTATATTCACTTTAATTGCAGCGCTGCACTTTACTTATATGAATAATCTTTATATAGTTTGTGTTCCTGTTCCATCAAACATTTAGGATTTTCCCAACTTTAACAAGCAGATATCTGTTTTCACGCATGTTTCTGTGCAGACTAGTGCGGTTTCCCTTCTTTGAAGAGGATAGCTTGTGCCAAGAGTACTCAAATTAGCGTTAAGGCTGCTTATATACTAAGGCACTAATCTGGTTTCAAAACTCACACATAAAAAAAAAGGTAGAAAAGTCTGTTGTAGCTAGTATAATTGAGCTCTATGCAACTTTGATGTAAAATGGACATAGCCTTTGGGGCAGACTGCGTATGTAGATGTAGTAAACCAGCTATCAAAGACTGGCTGACCAGTTCCAATGACTGATCCCTGGATAGATGGATTACCAAAGATTAGCCAAGAATCCTTATCATAGTGGCCAGTAGCTCCCTGTGGGGTCACAGCTGTTCAGAGAATCCTCTGCACAAAGCAAGCAAGAGGCTGTTACCAAGGAAAGTCAAGAAGGAACCTTTGTATGACCCCGTTGCACAAGTTTTCCTTGATCCTGCATCATGGATGTGATTTCCTGGGGATCTGCCTGATGGCACTTTCAAGAATAGTCTAGAAAGTAGACTATATTTCCCTCTCTCTGCCACCCATCACCTTACTTCTCTTCCCCCTCCTTTTGTTTTCCTTGTAATTAGAATTTATGTATATGCCTATTTATTTATTTCTAGTGAATCTGACATGGTTTAGCCAGCACATTAGAAGAATTCTGCAAACAGTACCATTGATCTGAAAGATACAGTATACTCATTGCCCTCCTCACTACAAGGTTATCTTAAATGAGTCAAGCCTGTGGCACAGCTGATGAAAAAATGCAGCATAGTGCAGAAAATTAAATATAAAGGAGAACGAAATGAAGATGGAATAAAAACACCATACACTGTACACCCTTGTTCTTGTGATACATTTAATACGTAAAAAGTTATAATAAAAAATCCTATCTTTCCATTTCAGTCTTTATTGCAGACATTCAAAACATTTGGTGCAACATGTACATTTCAGAAAAAAAAGCAGTTTCACATTATCACCTGGGGTGGTCTGTGGACAGAAAACACCCTTTTCAAGTTCAATTTAAAAAGTTGTATTTTCACATGCAATTTCTATCTGACATGTGACCATGTATCACTTTATTACAATTCTAATGATGTCCACAGCAGAATGTTAAAAAAAAAAACATTATAATACGTGAATGCATTTTACAATGTTTAACAGTAAAAATGTAAAACCCCTGAAGAATAACATGCCTTTTACAAAGTCCAGACAGACACGTACACAGTTCATTAGCAACAGAATACCAGTGCCTCTGTAGGGAAGCAAGGGGCTCATTCCCAGTTTTGGCAGGAAGTGGTGTATCTTCACATAAAACATCTATATTTCAGGGTGATAGAATAGTCCAAGTAAGAACAAAGTAAACCTCATGTACTATGATCGGACATTGAGGTTTCTAGCATCATATCACTCTCATTCATCTCTATTTCAAGAGCTTCTTCAACTGGAGACCTGGCATCAGAAGATTTAGGCAGAAGATTAGTGGACTCTAGGGCCATTATGCCACTTACGTCAAGAGACTGTCTCTCCATGTCAACCTCCCATGGAGAAGAAATTATGTTCTTCAAAGTTTTCATTGTGTGCACATCAAAGTCATAACATCTTAACTTGTCCTTGATCTCTGTTCCTATGAAACAATACACAAGCTATATTTGTTAAAACACAAATACCACATTTATTCATCCTCGCTTTGAATGGCCAATGAAAATAGTCAATGAAGAAAAAAAAAGGTTATTCCATTTAAAGCCCAAATCCAGCTTGGACAAAAACAAAATAATTTTGCTGCAGTGCTATAAAAAAAAAAAAAAAAAAACACAGAAAAACAAATGAGCTACAGTACTCCCCTTCAATCTGGAGCTGTCCCCCGCAATACTCTAGTCCCTTGGTCTTCTGGGCTTCAACCCAGGAAAAATAGGAAATTACTGTGAATGATGGGTGACAATGTCCCCTTCCTCCCCAAGTGGGTATCACCCTGGAACCCTGCATTCACTGTAAACTAATGCAGAGAAATTGATCGTAAAGGAATGCCCATCACTAGGGAAAACCAGTAAAGAAAGACCCGGAGCATCTTGTGACTGGACAGAAAAGACTGAAAAAAGAATTAAATTAACAAAAAAGACTAAAGTACACACTGAGGGAGTCACTTGTATGGAAAGCATGAGGTTAGGCTTTAGGAAGTTTAACCAATAGACGCCCGGCCAATAGCCGTTTGGCAGCCGGAAAAATATATTAGATTTCCGGGTGGACGCCATATGGCGTACTCCCGGGCATGCGCAGTTTGCGCACTTACAGAGCCACGCAGCGGCACAATCTGTCACCAGCCGTGTACCTCGGTCATGGCCGATGACAGATCTGAGTACCGGCCCCCGTTGCCAGTACCATGTGAGTTGCTGTGACCAATCACAGCAGGTCACATGACAGTTGTATACAATGGATGGCTTCACTCATGCCATCCATTGTATACTAGTGTCTAGCTGTGAATGGTCACAGTGATCACATGCACATGTCATTAACTGTGGCCAAATCACAGCTAAGCACAAAAAAAAAAAAAAAAAAAAAAAAAAAAAACCCTGAATGAATCGATATCATTCAGGTAAATACTTGCTTATAGCAAAGTAATTCTGTGCTATAAGCAAATTGTGTAAAAAAAAAAAAAAAATACTGATCACTTCCCCAAATAGTACAATGTTACTATGGTAACATTGTGCTACTTTGGCCATAGTGAAATATGAAAAAAAAAATCTTAAAAAAAAAAGAAAAAAAATATAATAAAAATTTAAAATTAATACAAAAAATTATATATTTTTTTCATAATGTCAGTGTCCCTGATCACCGCCATGCCACTTATATGATGACGCTGTACTGCACTGGTGACGGTATGTAAAAAAAAATTAGTGAAAATAATTTTTTTAATTTTGCAAAAAATGTTGACATAAAAATACAACTTCAAAAAACTCGCCATGCCTCTTATGAAGTACGTCGGACTGTCTACTCTGCAAAAAGGGGTCATTTGGGGGATATCTGTACTGTTCTGACACTCTTGGACCTCAAGAAATTAGATTGGCTGTCAGTACTTCAGGATTGATCAATTTTCAGATCTATACCATAGTTTGTAAACTCTATAACTTTCCTACAAACTAAAAAATACATCCTAATTTGGGTTATTTTCACCAACGACAAGTAGCAGAATACATCTCGGCCTAAATTTATGAACAACAATTATTTATTTGCAAACTTTTATAACGGAAACAAAGAAAAACGTGTTTTTTTTCTAAATTTTCGGTCTTTTTTTGTTAATTTATCAGAAAATAAAAATCCCAGCGGTGATTAATTACCACCAAAAAAAAAGCTCTAGTTGTGTGAAGAAAATGATAAAATTTTAGTTTTGGTACAATGTTGTATGACCGCGCAATTGTCATTCACAGTGTGAAAGCGCCAAAACCTGAAAAATGGCCTGGGCAGGAAGGGGTAAAAGTGCCCTGTATGGAAATGGTTAAACACCCTTTAAAGCAGCTACAACATTTAAAAAAAAAAAAATTAAATAAAAAAGTGTAAATCGAATAATAATCAAACTATTGTAAGTACCCCTAGCAGAGTTATGGTTTATTCCAAACCCTGTAACTGTTACTTTTGTCACACACACACTCCATGGCTTCTCCAGACCCTGTCACGTCTGTCACATGTGCTCAGGGTGAACCTGCACTCATCTGTAAAAAGCACAGGGTACCAGTGGCAGACCTGACAATTCTGGCATTCAATGGAAAATGCCAATCGAGCTCTATGGTGTCGGGCAGTGAGCACAGGGCCCACTACAGGATGTCGGGCTCTCAGGCCCCCCTCATGAAGTCTGTCTCTGATTGTTTGGTCAGAGACATTCACACCAGTGGCCTGCTGGAGGTCATTTTGTAGAGCTCTGGCAGTGCTCATCCTGTTCCTCCTTGCACAAAGGAACAGATACCTGACCTGCTGATGGGTTAAGGACCTTCTATCCTTATCCAGCTCTCCTATAGTAACTGCCTGTCTCCGGGAATTTCCTCTATGCTCTTGAGACTGTGCCGGGAGACACAGAAAACCTTCTGGCAATGGCACATAAAGCAGCTGAAACTGATTAACAACCCCCTGTGCTACTTAACTGACCAGATCAATACCCCAGGAGTTTAAGTGACTGATTAAAAAGTGTGTGTGTGTGTGTGTGTGTGTGTGTGTGTGTGTGTGTGTGTGTGTGTGTGTGTGTCTGTGTGTGCGTGCGTGCGTGCGTGCGTGCGTGCGTGTAAAGGTGATCAGAACAAGATTTTTTTTTTTTGCTATAATGATCATTTAAAAGGAATTCATATCTAGAATGTTTAAATTATACATACAGTATAAAAATACATAAAAAAAAATTTAGGGAGGATGGAGACTGGTATTAGAATCTGTGTAAACCTACTTATTTGCAGTACAATAAGATCACATAGCATTCTGCTTCCAGGATGCAGAAATGAAGTGCAGCAGCTGTGCTACTTTTAACCTACACTGGACATTACTCTTAAAAAAAAAAAAAAAAAATTACACACACACACATTATACACTGGCCATAGACTGTCTGAACTATCCAAAAAACACCATTTAAGAATTGAATACTGACCACTATACATTCTTGCTTTATATTTTACAAAATGTAGATAAAGACCTTACCAATATATGCTTCAGAGTCTCCAATATACATTTCAATGCAATGTCCAAGCATTGTAACGGAAAATGTATCATCTCTTCTTAGACCTAAAGCCTAAACACAGGACACACATAATTATTCATGCAGAAATTATTTAATAAATAAATGGCAATGCAATACGTAATTCTTTTCAGAACATCAAGAGGTATTAAGATTTTGGTGTACCTGTAAAATTCTTTTCTTGGAGTGCATCAGATACAGAAGAGTAATTATGCAAGCCTACCTGGGTTATGCTGTCACCTTCAGTTGAATGGACAGTGACCAGAAAGAGGCAGGAACCCCTGCCCAGGCATAACATCTCCCAGTTCCACTAAGCCTCAGTTTTGTAGCAAGCAATGAGGAATAGCTCTGAGGAAGGGGGTTTGCCCCTGAAACGCATCAACTTTCCAAATGAATAGATGAGATTGCCTATGGCTGGAGTTTTCAATTTGATACTCCTGTTTTTATGAGTGTTTGTGTATGTATTTGAATTTGGATCCAATAAATGCTGATAATGGTAATGCAAACTCAAGCATGCTACCTTGGCTGGAAGAGACAGGCATTTTTTCTGGGGAAGCAACAACTTCAACTGATCTGTGTCAAGTACCAAGCCAAAGTACGCCAGACATTCAGCAAGACAACATTTGGAGGTTCAGTACTCAGCAGAATCTCTCTAGTACCATTTGCCAGATATTTGATCTCAGTTTCTAAGTCAATTGCTACCTGAGCAGCAGGTTGTCCAGATATCAAAGAATAGGAACACACAGAGTCCTCAACAACTCCAGAACAGAAGTCAACCCCTTTGTTGAAATCAATGTTCAGCTCTGCAACTAGTCTTGTTTATTAGCCAGCAAGCAATATTAAAGTGTATGTGAACCCTAACAAACATTTTTTTTTTATTTGGTCTGTTTTTTGAATCATTATAGAACTGAAAGCATGTTGTTCTATCTGTTTGATCATTCAGAAAAGTACCTGTTCATTCCAGTATATCTTCTGAATTGATCATTTCCTTTGCAAACCTTTTAATTACATTGTTCTCAGCGATCTTTGAGGACTGCAGAACCTCTCCCTCTAACTTATAGATAATGGGAGAGGGGTGGGGTTTCAAAATTATTTTGTGTTTCTGTTGTCCTGATCAAAAAGAGGTTGGCCACATTCACATAGATCAGCAGGGGATCTGTCCACTGATCCCATGCTGATCAGAGCAGAGCGGGTGGATGACAAGTCCATCTGCTCAGTTTATGCAGAGCAGACATGGACTCCGCTGTCTGTTTACACCAAACTGTCCTCTGATCCAATCCACCTAGACTGAAGGGAGCGGATCCCCTTCCATTTTTTCTTTAGCAGACCAGATTAGATTAGAGATAGGTGGGTGTAAACAGACACAAGTCCAAATACACCCACTGCTCCATAAGGGTGAATAGAGGGTCTGATCAAGTCCATCTGAAAAACTGACAGGCAGACCTGATCATACACTTTGTGTGAAAGGGGCCTTAGTGAGCATTGTCTCTCTAGGACAGGTGTGTAGCTGGCCAAAATCACCAGCTGAAAAGAAAAAGAAATACAGCTTTAAAAACAAAAACGAATGCAGCCACCACTTCTAAGGACTGATAAGCTGCAACAAATATGGTTTTGTTTTGTATTGTTTAGATACACTTCAACCACTTGACCTCCAGAAGGTTTTACCCCTTTCATGACCAGGGCATTTTATTGCTATTCAGCACTGTGCTGCTTTAACTGGCAAATACTTGGTCATGCAAGAGTTACTCAAATGAAACATATCTTATTTTTCATACAAATATAACCAAAATCAGTGTACACTATTTAGTCTGTGTGAACATTATAGAGTTTACAAACCATGGTATATATATTTGAAAATTGATCAGTCCTGATAGGTACTGACTGCCTATCTCATTTCTTGAGGCCTGGAAATGCCAGGACAGTACAAATACTGGGGGATATCTGACCCCTTTTTGGAAAGTAGACAGTCCAAAGTAATCAGTAAGAGGCCTGGTGAGTTTTTTAAAGTTGTACATTTTTATCACTTTTTTTGGAGAATAAATAAATTAAATACATTTTTTTTCAAAAGTTTTCCGCATACTGTTACCAGTGTAGTACAGCATCATCATGACCGGTGTGGTGGTGATCAGGGATACTGACTGGTAACAGTATTTTGAAGAATTCATTTTTTATTCAATGTTAACTTTTTATATTGTTTTTTACAATTTCTATTTCGTTTTTTTTTTTTTACATAATGTCAACAGAGTAGTAATGTACTGCTCTGTGTGGTGATCAGGCATTTTTTTTGATGATCACTGTAACAGCAATCATTTTGAAATGTCATAAATGACTTTCATTCATGACCTATGGTTTACTATTGTGATAATGTTATTTGCCCACAGCTATCACAGGATACAGGGTGCTCTGATTGGCCCAGGTACCATGTGATCACTGGTGCCCAATCACAGATCACACACAACAGTAAACAAGGTTTACTAGGTGACGTGATTGAACAGCAATCATGTGGTATTTAGGCCACTCACAGGGGCCCGATACTCAGCACCACAATCCGCTGTGTCCATGGCGCACACAGTGCATATGAGCACACAACATATAGGCACAATGCAGTGCCTGGGGAAGCCTCCAGCCAGAAGTAAAATTAATGTTGGCTGGTCTGCAAGTGGTTAAGGAACCAAGGCACATAAGTTTGATGCCAAATGTAATTTTGTAAAGTTATTGGTGACCTGCTTTAACCTCCCTGGCAGTATGATTATGTCAGGATTTTGTACCAAAAGCGGTACAATTTTTTTTGAAATGGAAATATGTAGTTTTTTTATTGTAGGCTGTAATTTTTAGGAATAACTCACTGAAATCTATCCGAAAAAGAGTCTATTAAACATTCCGGATATGATAAAACTTGAAACACGAAATCATAAATTATAATTTAATAAATAATCATAAAAAATAATAATATAATAATAATAAATTTAATTCAATAATATAATCAAACCAAAAACACTGAAATTTGAAATACAGAGGCAAATTCGCACATCGCTGAGCCAAGTCGCAAAATCGTTTTCAGTGTCTGATGACGAATTTCCCCACAAATCATTATCACTCAATTCTGCAAGTGGTTCTGATTTACTATCGCTGTTCTAAAACCGCTTTTGACGTAAAGGGACGCTTTTTGGCCGCCATGGACTTTTCTAAGTTTCCAGGCAGAAAGAACAGTCAAAATGCAGGCAGGGCACAGGACAAAGCAGTGGGGGACAAAATGTATGTGAAATGCAGTGAAAAAGCAATGACAGCAAAAATGTCATTTTTTAAAAATTTCAAATTTCCCACCGGTTCGCTGCATGGTAAGCCCGAGTGTAGCTCGGGGTTACCATTCTTGGTATAGAAATTCTACCCCGAGCTACACTCGGGAATACCGCCAAGGAGGTTAAAGGATTAGATGAGCCCTATAACATCTCAACAAAAACAGCTTTTTCTTGTGTGAATATGCAATATAAATGATGATTCAAGCATACAGCAATATTTAGCATTGTATCATGATAATGTACTCTTAAGAGACACTAATACTTTTAGAACTGCCAATATACAGAAAGATATTGGGCTTTCCTACTCTGACTTTAGCTGCCCACGCAACTGAGGCAGTCTGTATGCAATATAAAATTCAGATTATCCATACTCCGTTTCAGTGGTAAACTTACTGTATGGAAATAATCAATTGCACTTTCAAAATTTCCCATTAGACTGTGTATATATCCAATAGCTGAATAGGTGGAGGCATTTTGTGGTATCAGAACTAGAGCTTGACGATGATACTCTAAGGCATCTTCATATTTTCTGCAAAATAAGGAAGCATAATGCATTCAATGAAATGTACAGAGGATTTGTTTGTTTTTGATGGTCAAAAACTAAAAACTACTTTGACTTTTATTAAAAGGAGTAATATTATGTAATTACATTAACCCTTTAAATGTTTCTATACATACTATACATATGGGTTTTGCATCTAAATCCACTCTAACCAGAGGACCTAAATCTGGATGGAATTAACATAAAGGAAATACAACACCAATTTGGGGTGCAAACAGCAATGACATGCAGTAAAACCATAAAACCGATCAGCTTTTCTTCATTTAAACGAAAAGAGTGTAAAGCTTAAAGTTGCTAAAGGGATATGGCAAATCAACATTCTATACAATACATTTAATATAAGTCTGATTAAACCCCTTGCTGCCTGTACTCATTGAAGTAGGTCTTTTCCGTGAGGCCGCATATACCTGCTTGTGCTGGGAGGACTTAGTTCTGGATGGACTTAACATAAAGCAAATACAACACCAATTTGGGGGAAAACAGCAAAGACATGCAGTAAAATCATAAAACCGATCAGCTTTTTCTTCATTTAAACACAAAAAAGAGTGTAAAGCTTAAAGTTGCTAAGAGATATGGCAAAGTAACATTCTATACAATACATTTAATATAAGTCCCATTAAACCCCTTGCTCCCTGTACGCATTGAAGTAGGTCTTCTTCCTCGAGGCCTCATACATGTGCTTGTGCTGTGATTTGCATTTGCAGAGTGGTGCAGAGAAGCACACTCTTAATTACTCCACAGTTCTGTCTGTTTCAGGCTCTTGTATGTGATATTACTTGGGATGGACAGGAGGAGGGATAGCGGGGATCAAGGGGAAAAGGCATGTTACAAACATCAGTTTCCCTGCGGTGCTCTGCGTTTGTTAATTGTTGTTATATCTACAGCTCGCTGTACAGATTCAATGTTCTGTGAGCTGTAGATCTGAACATTTTTTTCAGGGGTTCCCCAAGAGCTCAAACTTTTTGCCAAGGGTTCCTCCAAGGTAAAAAGAAACACTGGCATAGAGCAACTTGCATTTATTGCTGTGATTTAATACCCATTATGATTATTGTTCAACAGGAGAAGAGAACTTTCTTTACTCTAGAGCTGTCTGCTAAAGTTTACAGTTTTCTATAGTCCTTTTTTATGCAACAATTTCACTTAAGAAGCACAATGAATGTAAAAACTTACTTTAATTTTCTACGTACATGACCCAAGTTGTTTAATAAAGGTTCCCATTTATCCACAGTTACCTGCAATTTGAAGAAAAAAGAAAAAAAAAAAAAATCAAACCTTTAATAAGACCCACATCGTTGATATGTCTTATGTGTGTACTGCATAGGGGCTGCATATTTACAGTACAGATGCTTTAAAAAAAAGTACACAGAGCTATACTTAAATGGGTACTCATACTAAACACAGGTTCACCCTATTTACGAATAATCCATTTGCAAAGTTGAAGCAGAACCAAACTTTCTCAACCAACATTAACTATTTCTAATCCTTATGCTGCTAGTAACAGTAAATACAGTATATAATTTACTTGTTTTATTTGTTTTTTTACATTTCTTCAGTTGCTTTGTGGTTTCTGGCCCAAGCCAAAATGATGTCATACATCCCAGGAATCTTCATGGACAATTTTTTTCCTTTTGTCTGGAGGAGGAGAGAAGGGGGTTTCTCAGCTAGGCATACCCTCTTGCCTGCATACCTTGGCTAAGGGCAGGTGGATTCCAAGACGTAATCACCTTCCCTTACCCAAGATGGCTGCAGCTAAAACTGCTAGGGTGGTCTTTTCAAAGTGATTTCTCAGCAAAATAAAGCATAGAGACATGGATTGGTAGATGAGTTTGCGTTGAATATTAACCATGAATTAAACAGTGTTTTCAGTTTATGGTGCACAGATACAGTTTGTTCCGCTTTAAAGTGGTTCTAAAGACAAAAAAAGTTATTTTCAGTTGCTGTGCCCTCACGTCCTTAAATACTTACCCAAGTCCTACATTGATCCAGTGTTGTGCCCATCTGCAGTTCTGCTCTCCCCTGTCTCTGCTCCCACAAGCTTGGCTGAAAGCAGCAGGAGCCATTGGCTCCTGCTGCTGTCAGTCAAATCCTATGAGAAGAGAGCAGGGTGCGGGGCCAAGCCACACTGGCTATTCATGTGCAATTTTTTAAACACTGTTTTGTACTGTTCTTTTTAATAGCATTGTATTGCATGTTACACTGTGTTATGCTGAATTTGCAAAATCAAATTTTGTCATATACATCAAAATAAAATCTGCAATAAAGTACAATAAAGGTTGTCAGGGCTTCACTGGAGAAACCCATGAGGAAAAAAAAAAAGTATAAGAGCACCAATCTAAAAAAAAATATTATCTTCTATACAAACTGTGTGATTCTAACTTCTAGTCACAAAAAATACTAACACTTTGCCCAAGTGTATGTCTCAACTTAGAGGAATATGGCCACAGATCAGTGAAAAATTACCTCGTTTCCAATGGCTCGGATTTTCTCTAGTGCTTCCAAGAACCATTTCTCAGCAGTTTTCCAGCTGTGAAATTAGTGAAATACTGGTAAATCAGCATAATCCACAACATGCCATTAAAAGCTCACAGTTAATAATAATGTGTATCCATTACAAAAACTAAAGTCAAGTTCTATATATTATTCTTCCATCTCCTGCTTTAATTTGTTATTACTAGTGTCATTTATTTGTTTATACTGAAAAATATAATATAAAATCTAAATGTGTGCCAAGGTAACAGTCTTATAGTAAGATACATCAACACCTACTCTCCATTCTGAAATGCCACCACACCAACTTCATGCATAACAAACGGATCCTCTGGCGCAATACTCAGAGCCTGACTAAAGAATCTTTCTGCCAGCTTGGAATTATTAGTCAGGCCATACTCCAGTCCAATATACAGCATTGGCAAATGACATCTGCAAACAAATATTACAGCATTTATCAGTAATTTGAAGCTATTACAACAGTCAAATAAGTAAACCATGATTGGCCACTGTGGTGGCTGCATTAAGGATTTTCCTTTCATACCCTTTCATCAGCTGGGCTGCTGTGAAATATGCAGCCATTGCTTGGTCATGTTCACTTTCCACTGCAAATGAATGTCCATATGCAATCCAAGCTGGACCATAGCTTCTCTCTAGTGTGGTGGCTTTGCTAAAATTCAAACAATAGGTTAAAATAGAGCATGTTTTTAGAAATATGTAAAAATGTTATGTTTAATTAAATTTACATACTCATACATCAGGCATAATGCATAAAGATTTTACCTGAGATACCTTCTGGCATGTTCATTTTTATGCCCCACCATGAGATAGTAACAACCCACTGCAAACCAGGACACCTGAGGCACAAATGTAGCAAACACAATAAAATAAGCAACAATATAATCAACATCATCTTGTAATATTCTGTGCTTTGGGTGTTGATTAGGAGATACTGTATATATAAATCTTTTCAGATACACTATGTAACTCAGACAACTAGAGTAAAGCAGGCCCACACATTATGTCTTTTTCATTCAACCAGCGTATGTGTGTGTATATATATATGCCAATTCCCCCATCCACACATTCCCTCCTGCTCTGCTATTGTGTTCTCATGGTGGGGAGCCTTCCCTGCCATGAGAACACAATGATCAGTGCTGCTGGCTATAGCCAAGGACACTGATCAATCAGGAAAGACCTAACAGGGTGGTTATATAGAAGGCGATTGATAGTTTGACTTTTTTACAACCAGGGTGCCCACAGAGGGATTGAAATTCATCCAGTCCCTGCTGAACTGGCCAAATTTCGATCCAAGTATGGCCAGCTTAACGCTCTAAAATATAGTAAATCTGATTTAGTAAAATATAGTTGCAGAGAGTCTGAATTTGGGTCCAATGAAACTACAGAGATAAGGGCTAACTCCAAAGCAAAAAAAAAAAAAAAAAATCAAGGTTGGGTGGACAGCAGTGTTGAAAATTACGTTGAAGGGGAACTTAAAGTGGAAGAAAAGCCCTGAACCTAACTATTCTTAACAAGGTTTGCTCCTCCTAGCCTGCATACCCTGGAAAAAAAAGATCTGTATACTTATCTATGTTTAATTCAGCCCCGTCATGTGAGCCTGCATGTCCAGCTTCCTTGTATCAGTGAGTAGCTGCTGTAGGGGACAGGGGGGGAGCACCAACAACCGCTGGGACATGGCAGCCTATGACTTACATCACAGTTCCCAAAATTCACAGCCATTGTTAAGCACTGCCTTACACAGGAAACCTGAAGCTGCAGGATCACATGACTGGACTAAAAAAAGTAAGTACACAGATCTCTTTTACACAGGGTATACAGGATAGGTAAGAGGAGGAGCAAAGGAACACTTTTAGGAATAGTTAGCGTCAGGGTTTACTATCACTTAAACAAACTCATTGATTTAACTATTTAACTAAAGGACTCAGGTTAGAAATGTTCAAGAACTGTTATTAAATCCTTAATCAAACATACCAGTGTTGATTTCTGCAGTTTTGATTCACATTCTGCATACTAGTACATGTGCAATGTATACTACATTCAAAGCATGCCTCTATGGATAACAGTCACAACTGTGCTTATGTCAGCTTTCAACCCATCTTGCAAATCTTCAAGTGATAGGTGGCATGGGTCACATGTGCAGCACCATGCAGATCTAAATAGAGTCCAACATGCCTCTTCCTCAGTGGATAGCAGGATTTAGTTCTGCTCTAACAGAATGTCCCTCCACGCACACCCATGCCAAAATCTTTCAGCTTTCTTTTAAAGTGATACTAAATGATATGCTTATTCTTCAAAAAATAATCCATACATGCCCACAATATTGGCCATGTAATCTATTTTTTCATTACATAAATTCTTAAGGTGTTCTTTGCGTCCTTGTAATGTCCTCTGTGAGCTTCCAAACCTCTCCCTTCCCTCTCACTTTCCCTTTTTGGAATGAGCAGTGCACATGGATTGTGGTCATGTGCACTGCTCTATGCACTCTACAAATCCCATAGTCCACAGTCCATCTCAGGAGCAAGCAAGAGAATGGTACCATGGAGAGTGACCTCAGTTACCCTCTAACAGGAAGTTGGATCATAGCAGCAAAAAAAAAAAAAAAAAAAAAAAAAAACATGGAAAAGGCTGAGAGCAATATGAGCTACTTTTTTTAGTTAGCATACTTGGAAGTTTTTTTGTTTTTTTTTTTTTTTAATCGAAGTTTAGTGTCGCATTAACTAAAATGTGGTAGAGAGATACAAGGCCAATGTTGATGGGATTTTTTTTAATTCAGAATTGCTTGTCTCCTCATAAAAGTCTATAGGAATGCAGCTTCAAGCACATCAAATGTACCTGGAATGAATTCAAACTGATTTCAGAAGCTTCTCAAACTGATGTCCAAAACACATTACATTTGCCCATCCATAAACTGGCTAACAGTCTACAGTCATATATGTTGGCAACAAACACAGGAAAAAAGGTGGGAAATCTAACCAACAGGTCTCCGCACTGAAACCCAGATTGGTGGGTTAACAACAACTTACATTACACCTATCTTATTTGAAATCTTTTTGCTTCCATATGAAACAATTTGCCACCATTTGTGGAAAAAGAAACCAAGGTCTTTAAGATTTTAGAGCAAGGTCCTGCTATCAGAAGCTTGTATGGCTATACACTGTGTGCACAATTATTAGGCAAGTGAGTATTTTGACCAAATCGTCATTTTTATGCACATTGTTTAACTCCAAGCTGAGTAAACTTGAATGTTTATGGGATTTAAGCACATCAGGAGATGTGTATTTGTGTAATGAGGGAGGGTGTGGCCTAAGAAGATCAGCACCCTATATCAAGGTGTGAATAATAATTAGGCAGCTTCTTTTCCTCAGGTAAACTGGGCCAAAAAAAAAAAAAAAGATTTAACTGACTCTGAAAAGTTAAAAATTGTAAACATTGTCAGAGGGATGCATTACTCATGAAATTGCTAAACTATTGGGGTGCGATCATAGAACCATCAAACCTTTTGTTGCAAATATTCAACAGGGTTGCAAAAACAAACAAAAAAAAAAAAGATGCAAATTAACTGCCAAAGATTTGAGAGGAATCAAATGTGAAGCTACCAGGAACCCATTATCAGGGATGTTCAATTTCTATCGCCCGAAGCCTGGGACATTGTAGTTCCTGGCGCAGGGCAGGTACTTTTTTTTTTTCTATCATTCAGCCCTGCTGCGGGCAAGCAGCAGGTCTCATCTGTCAGGTGAAAGCATTCGGGTGGCAGCGCTGCCGCCAATTGCTTCCACACAGTGCCAGCCTCCGCTCCACCTGCATGAACCGCCCACTGTCTCCCAGGCTCCGCTTGCCCAACTGTGAGCCCTGGACCGGCTCACCGCTGTCAGCTAGAGGGGAGGGAGGAGGCGGACACATCAGTTCTCCTCCCCTTCTTGTCCTGACCCGTAAGTGACATTATGATTTCACTTCCAGGTCCCTGTTCAAAGATTTCCTGGCCATCAAGGCCTGGAAAGAATGTAATACAGTGCGATGTGCACTGTATTACATTCAGGGGAGGCATCCAGGGTGTTTTAGACCCTGGGTGTCTCAATAAAGAGAACCTGTCACCCAAAATCATCACATAGGGGACTTTGTTCCCTATATGATGAAAAAAAAATTAAAAAAGTTAAGAAAATGTTTTTTTACTTTTTTTTTTAATTGTAAAACATCAAAGTTACACCCAAGCACACAACATCCCCCCCCCAAAAAACAATTGAGGCACCCCCACATATACACACGTAAAAGCACACGCTGGGGTACCTACACATGAAAACGCTGATTACGATACACATTACTTATCACCGCACACGCCAGAGTGAGAGCAATAATTCTAGCACCAGACCTCCTTCGTAATGCTAAACTGATGACCTATAAAGGGGGCTTTAAAAGTGTTGCCTATAGAAAATACGGGGTACTGAAGTTTGTAGCCATTTCATAAGTGCATGCAAAGTTAAGTTTTGACATGTTGGATATCTATTTACTCAGTGCTACCTGGTCTTTTATATTTTACAAACAAATATGGTCATTTTTTGCTTTTTTTGTCCCCTAAAATTTTTTAACTAAAATTCTGCGGTAATATCATGAGACATTAAAAATTGGAACTACCACTATTTTATTCTCTAGTCTCTGCTTTCAGAAAATATATGTTTGGGGTTTTGTGTAATCTTCTGGCCTAAAATTATTTTTTAAATGTGTGCAAAAAACACAAAAACAGCTCTGGCAGTGAAAGGGATAAAGGGTAAGCCCCCTTTCCTGACAAGTACCCAATCGGTGCTCATTACACTGCAAAGTCTCTCCCCTCCCTGTTAGTCCCTGGCTACGGAGCTGGAGAGAGGCAGGGAGGGGAGGAGGAGATAAATAGCGCAATGTTAAAATTATTAAACGTTTAAGTCGTCATAAAGCCCCTTTTAATTTTAAAAGCCCCAGACATTCCTAAAAGCAGCTCAGATTTAAATACGGTTTTGGTTCAAATGTATCTTTTTTTATCTGGACAAGTAGATTATCATGAGGAACAAGTAGATTGGGGCACTGATTTAGTTCCTGGGCGAGTTTTTTTTTTTTTTAAATTTTCACACCCCCTGCATTATCCTCCAGTGCTGTCATTCTAAAACTGCAACCTACCTGGAGTGCCCAGCAATACAAGGTGTTGAGTGCTCAGAGACATGGCCAAGGTGAGGGAGGCTGAAACCCAACCACCACCGAACAAGGCACAAGTTGAAACGTCAAGACTGTGCCAAGAGATATCTGAAGACAGATTTTTCAAAGGTTTTATGAACTGATGAGAGTGACTCTTGACGGACTTTTTCGGGTTGAAGATGGACTCAAAATCAACTCCCAAACCTACTGCCAGTTTTTAGAAGACACTTCCTTCAAGCAGTGGTACAGGAAAAGTCTGCATCTGTCAAGAAGACCATGATATTTATGCAGGACAATGCTCCAGTGGCTAGCCAGTAAAGGACTTAAAGATGAAAGAATAAAATTACATGGCCCCCTTCCTCACCTGACCTAAACCCTATTGAGAACTTGTGGGCCCTTCTTAAATGGGAGGTTACAGAAACAGTACACCTCTCTGAACAGTGTCTGGGAGGCTGTGGTTGCTGCTGCACAAAAAAGTTGATCGTGAACAGATCAAGAAACTGACACTCTCCGTGAATGGAAGGCTTATGACTGTTATTGAAAGAACGGTGGCTATATTGATCAATGATTTTTTTTTTTTTAAATGTCAGAATGTTTATTTGTAAATTTTGAGTTGTTCGTTTATTATTCTCATTTTAGCAGATGAAAATAAACAAGTGAGATGGGAATTCTTTTGTTTCTCATTTAGTTGCATACAAATTCTGCACATTAATAGTTGCCCAATAATTGTGCACACATAGATATTCTCCTAAGAAAGCCAAAACCTCACTTTTACTTTCTTAAATATTCAGGTTTGCGGTTTATAAACATTTTGAATGAGAACTGTAGTTGTTCAACATTGAAATAATCCTCAAAAATACACCTTGCTTAATTGTGCACACAGTGTATTCTATAAAAGTATAAGGTAGAATTGCACACTACAAACCAAATGGGATAAAACATGTACATGTCACAATGTAACTGCATTCTGATGTGGTTATGGCAACACAACATACACAGTGTAAAAAGGAAAAACACCAGCACTTTTCTTTTTTTTTTCTTTTTTTTTTTTTTTAGATATAAACACTTCAATACTTACAGGATTATTTGGATATAAATCAACTAGTTTATGTGAGAGATAGAAGAGTTCTGTAAAAACAAAAATGTATTTTTTGAATATAAAAGATCAATTAAAATTACTATGCAAATAGACACACAGAATGTCAACTAAGAACTTACCATTTGCTTTGTTCAGCTCTACAAGAGTGCCTATATGTACAGGTAAACAATTTGCATGAAAGGGATCTTTTTCCATAACCCTGAAAATGCAAAAAAAAAAAAAAAAATGTATTGCACTCTATAAGTCTCCAAAACCTTTTCTTTATCTCGTGCAGCTACTCCTAGTTTCTGCTTGTGTTTCCCATAACATGTGGCTGCTTTTTCCTAAACGGCCATATTTCAATTGTACAGTTTCACTATTATTTATCTTGAGAATCTCAGCTTTGTCTTCGTTTTGGATAAAGCAGTAGCGGTTAGAACCACTGTCAGGTTTTTATTATTGTGTGTGTCACACTCATCTTAAAATGTCCTGATCACCAAATTTCAGTAAGAATTTTGAGTTGCCATCTGAACAGGAATAGAGGGTCAATCTTCCAATGAGACACTTGACCTGTGACAACTTAAGAGGGGATGTCCCTCGCATTAGAAAGGTATTACTCCCTAACTGGACACCCAAACTGGATGGGGTGGGGGGAAAAAAAAAGACAATTGACAGCAGTTTTAACCGTCCCCTACTTTCTCCAAAATGAAAATAAGGTTTGGGGTTTAGATATATTTTAAACTTTCGGTTATGTTCAATACCTGCCTATACGTCCGGTCTCACAGTAAGAAATATGGCTTTACTCATCAGCAGATACCACAGACTTTTTTCCTCATTTCAGTGATTAGTGTTAACAGGTCCAAAAATATGTAAACAGGAAATTATGAAAAATAATCCCAGCTGACCTCACTTCTACACTCCACAACTCAGAATTAAAATTCAGGGAGACATGGAGGTCTTGGCGATATTTCATCACCACCACTGATCCAAATCTACAAGTAATGTCCTACATTTGGAGAGAGTGAATGTAGTCCTGCTCTTGCTTGCTACTGAGTTGATAAACCCATTCCCTCACTGTATAATTTTAGGAAGTGACACCCCATCACTTGCATCATTTCTACCCCTTATCTTTACTAGAAACTGGTACCAACAGTTTTCCTCATTCTCTAAGCAAACATACTATGTGGTTGCTATGTCTCTGAAAGCGACATATCATTGGGTTACTGGTACCTGTGGGTTCAAGGGTCCCTTCACTCTGTTCTTTGAAAACTCAGAGCATGCTGATGCTTGTAATGCGTTCCATAAAAATATCTTTAATTGAATGACTCTAGCAATAATCACTGTGTTCTCCCAGCAGGCATGACTCCGTCCACCACCCCCACCAAGGGAAAACACAATAGCTCCGCTGGAGGGATTCCTCCATCAACACTGACTGTGTTGATAGTGGGATCGAGCAATTCACATCCTCTATGGCTGGCTTAAGACCTGTACTTTGAAACAATTCTCACTTCAGCTTACTTACTGTTGCTATTGCTTTTGTAATGGGCTCAGGTAAGATCATGTAACAGATATTTCTGTAATGAGAAGTGCTAAAATAAAAAAAAATCCCCCCAAAAAATCTCAGCCATGATCATGTCCCAGTCAACTTCTTCTGATTATACTGATGTTTTTCTTCAGTTCACGGGTGTGAATAATTGAATTAATGTTAGAATATTCAAAAAACATGTAGAAACATTTCTGGGTCTTGATACAAAAATATAAGTTGATTATATTGAGCATGTATACACATTGACTATATACTAAAGTATATTATATTATTTGATTATTAATTTATTTCACTAATCATATTTATTTATTCCACCAAATCCTATCAATAATCACCTGTCCTTACCAAACAGAATTTAGCAGAGCACAATTTTATAGAAATACAAAAAAAACAAAAAAACAATTAGAGTAGTGAAACACGTTTACTTACGCAGATGTAAGTTTATAACACATCTTGAAGTCACAGTTGTAGTAATGTCTTTCTGCCAAGGAGACCACTACATCTAAGTTTTCCTGAAGCCCATCTACAGATTCTGGAATTACTGTTTCACTAGGCTTATTGTACTGAAAAACACAACCATAGTTAAGGTTACAGCAGCAAAGAGGTAAAAACAAAGACAACAAAAAACTTGGGTTTTATTGTATTCTTTTATGCAGTAAATAAACCTGTGATAAAAAAATGTTATGGTATTCTGCATAGCTGTTGACTTTGGTATAATTTTTTCCCATGGTACCCCTGCATCCATTAAGATGTGCATGCTTCCTTGCTACTCCCCAAGAGCCACTTATGAATTAGCCAAGGGAGTATGTAGATCAAAAAGAATCCTTGAGAAGCCTTTTTTTTTTCCAAAACTCCATAGGTAAGGGCACACTGTTGACTTTATTCAGTAACAATTAAAGCATGAAACAAGAAGAAATTTGAGTTGGCAGGACCTTTGATGATCCCAGTATAAGTCTCTATGAATGACAAGTAAATGAAAGAGGTTAGACTTTATTTGTAAATATGTTCTATTTCGCTGGCTACAATGAAACAAGCCAATGTGATTTACAAACATATTTATTCTTTAAATAACTGCTGTAGAAAATAAACAGTATGTCTGGGGAAAAACCCAGCTAATGAGCTTTTACTTGCACTGAAAGTCTGAATACAAACATAAGACATTGGTTGGTTAAGCAACCTCCTTTATGGTATCCTTAAGAGGAAAATCTATGTAACAACTGCTTCATAATAGGATTCTTTTTTCTTTTTGGTTTGGAGGGTAAAAGATGGAATTTTTTTGCATGGGACTCGAGTGGTTGTAAAATCAAAAATTTGTTTTACCTTAATACATCCCTAAACACTTACCTGTCACCAATCCTGCGCTGTCTCTGCTTCAGCACAGCTCCTCTCACTTCCTGATCTTACAGGGAACACTGAGAGCAGTAGGAACCACAGGCTCCTGCTGTTGTCAGTCAAACTCCTGTGAGAAGGAAGCAGGGGCATGGCTAACTAATGCTGTGTCTACGGATGCACACAGCCCAGCTTGGAAGCATGTGCACCCAGCTGAGGGATGAGCAGACAGTGCAGGCGAGGGCCTGCCAAAGAGGAGGTAAGTGATCACTCTGTGCAATATTGTTGCACAGAGCAGGTAAGTATAAAATCTTTATCTTAAAAAAACAAAAAAAACTACCTTTAATATCACTTGTATATCATTTGGTATATACAGTATATAAAACAAACACTCTCTTGCCTCAGTTTTCATTTTATAGGCTTTAAATTTGCTCTTATTCTAAAAGAAATCCACAAAGAGCTTTAGTTTATTTTGCAGGAGTAAATGCTTATTTGTTCCATCAAAGTTATTCAAAATACATAAAATGAAATCAATTAATTGAGTATTTACATAGCAGTCACTCTTTTTACCTTTTTCAGCTTGTTTTCAAAGAGGAAACGGAGGAGTTCTTGATCTTCTGGACATTTCTTACTGAGGGGTAGCGAATCAAGAAGTTCTTTCTCTGCAAAGTAAAAATGTATTTCAGAAGGTAGTCCTGAACCAAGCCATAACCACTGGTGTTTTCACAAGTGAAATAATTTATTATATGGTAGACTTATGAAGAATGGTCTTAACCACTTGACCTCCAGAGGATTTACCCCCCTTAATGACCAGGCCTCTTTTTGCTATACAGCGCTGCACTAATTCAACTGATAATTGCGCTGTCATGCAACGCTGCACCCAAACAAAATTTATGTCCTTTTATTCACACAAATAGAGCTTTCTTTCGGTGGTATTTGATCACCTGTGCATATTTTGGAGAATATATGTAGAATGGAGGAACTTTACCATATGGAGGAAGATAAAATGGAGGAAGATAAAATGGAGGTATTTCGTACAAGTTGGGAAAAGTGGATACAGTTTAAAAATTCAGAGGTATACCTAGAATATGTGAAAAGAAGGGGAAGGGGATAAATTTAGTACAGTATAATACCAGTAATAGCTAAGGTTCAGGATTTCTAGAATGAAGTTAAAAATGCATAATCAAAGGGTGGGGTAAGGGGAGGTGTAATATGTCACCGAGATTAACTACTCTCCCTCCTAAGGATTTACCCCCCTTAATGACCAGGCCTATTTTTGCTACTCGGCGCTACACTAATTCAACTGATAATTGCGCGGTCATGCAACACTGCACCCAAACAAAATTTACGTCCTTTTTTTCACACAAATAGAGCTTTCTTTCGGTGGTATTTGATCGCCTGTGCGGTTTTTATTTTTTTGCGCTATAAAAAAAAAAAAGGCTGACAATTTTGGAGGAAAAAAAAAAAAAATATTTTGGACTTTTTGCTATAAAACATGTCCAGTAAAAAAAAATTTAAAAATCAAATTTAGTCATAAATTTCTGCCAAGATGTATTCTGCGACATGTCTTTGCTAAAAAAGAAAAAAAAAAAAGAAAAAACCCAATACGTGTAAATTAATTGGTTTACGTGAAAGTTATAGCGTTTACAAGATACTGGGATTTTTAGGGGTTTTTTTTTATACTAATAATGGCGGCGATCAGCGACTTATGGCGGCGATCAGCGACTTATGGCGGCGATCAGCGACTTATGACGGGACTGCGACGGACATTCTGGCATTGGGGGGTACTGACTTGGGGTCACTGACATCCCCAGTGACACCAAAACAGTGATCAGTGCAAAAAAAAAAAAAAAACACTAACACTGTACTAATGGCACTGGGGAGGAAGGGGTTAAGTTTATTATTCAGGGAAAGGGTTAACTGTGTGAGGGGAGTGTTTACTAGGGGGCGGGGATGTGTACTGCTGGGAACACCGCTGATCGGGAGAGAGAAACTCTTCTGTCCCAATCAGCTTGTCCTGGAGCTGTCAGGGAACTGACAGAAAGCACAGCTACTGCAGCTGTGCTCTCTGTCAACGATTGCCGCCGATCGCCAGGACATAGCAGGTAACGACCGGCTGTGACCCGGCGACTGACATCCGCAGCTGTGATCGGCGGGACAGGTAGGGCGGCAGCGCGCCTCGCGCACGCCCCGTTTTAAAACGTGGTTTTGCCCAGCCGTGCCACCCTGCCGCCGTATTTCTACAGAGGCTGGGCGGCATGTGGTTGATGACCTCACTGGCCTAATGTTCTGCAACACTAACATCCCCCACACTCTGTCAACACAATCGAATAATACCTTGTCAGTCAGGAAATAATGACTCACTCCCTTCTAAGAATTCTCCAGAGCTTCTTCCTTCCTATGTAACTCCCTACCCCAATTTGTCCAGCTATCTCTTACTCTGTCCACCTTTCAGCAATCTTTGAGATCTCCTTTCTTCAGAAAAGTCTAAGCCACCTCTACCTAAAAACTGTACTTTTACTTTCTCCATTAACTCAACCCTCACAGTTAAAGCTGAATTCCAGACGTTTTTGAGTTTACAAAAACTGTAGCTACTGACTTTTAATAAACACACACTTACCTGTCCCGGGGTCCAGTGATTTACTCACCCATGCTGACACTTCTCTCCACTGCGCCTGCATCTCAACTGTGGGCACCAGGCTGTGACAGCTTGCATCTTCACAGCCGGGTGCCCACTGGGCATGCGCGAGTCACGTTGCGCATCCTGATTGGTCCAGCTGTCTTCTGGGACCTGTGAAAGTTCCCAAGAGACTGCAAAAAAGAGGGGGCCAAACTTCCAGCTCACTTCACCGCAGCAAACTGAGCCAGAAGTGGGAGCGGGTACCTTTCAAAACCAGGTACCCCCTCCCCCACCAAAAGGTGCCAAATACGGCAGTGGAGGGGGGAGGAGGCAAACAAGCGAAGCTTCCACTTTTGGGTGGAACGCCGCTTTAATCCTTAGATCACTTGCCCCTCCCTTTATAATGTAAGCTCCCACAAGCAGGGCCTTCCTAATGCATAATAAACTCTTAACAATAATAATTTACACTGTTACTCGCAGATCAGGCAAAATTAGCACACACAGTACCATCAAACTGTAGTTCATATGAAAATATACCTATATTAAGTAGAAGTATTTTAATGTAATGCTTGATTGTAGTATGTAGCTCCAGTGCAGCTATACAACTGAAAGCAGAAAACTACTAATAGAGCTCCCAAACTACAGTATACCATGGTTTGTATAATCCTCATAAATCTAAGTGCATTCTAGTAATGAATTAGCGGTTATGGTGAAAACTCCCAACCTTCTTGTGCTGTTAGCATATGGTGTGCTGTTAAAAGGTCAAATGCTTCAAAACAGTAAACATCAAACTTCAAGGCCTCTTTGTAACTGTAAGTTGCCAGTGTTCGGTTATCCAAGGCATCATATATCTTCCCACGCAACAAGCAAATGGAGCTCTTAATCTACAAAATGAAAAAAAAAAAATTAAAAACTGAAAACCCCAGAATAAAATAGGGAAAACAGTAATAAAAGCTATTTGACAACTCTGTAGACTATTATTTTCTTTAACATGAATTTAAAAAAGGTTTAATTCATTGAGTTTAACCCATGTTCCTAGGAACCTGAAGTCAAAAAAATATTAAGTTGGAAAGAAGCATGGAAGCATGTGTTGCGTTTTTGAATTTGTAGTACGACGTTGATGTAACTTTACACTCTCTGGAACTCAGGTAGTATCAAAGTCGCATCAAAGTAGTACAGGAACCTTTATGTGTCCAAAGGCACATGTTAGGGTTAGGGGCTAGGGTTAGTGGTAATCATCAGGGTTAGGGTTAGTGGTAATCATCAGGGTTAGGGTTAGTGGTAATCATTAGGGTTAGTGGTAATCATCAGGGTTAGGGTTCGTGGTAATCATCAGGGTTAGGGTTAGTGGTAATCATCAAGGTTAGGGTTAGTGGTAATCATTAGGGTTAGTGGTAATCATCAGGGTTAGTGGTAATCATCAGGGTTAGGGTTAGTGGTAATCATTAGGGTTAGGGGTAATAATCAGGGTTAGTGGTAATCATTAGGGTTGGGGGTACTCGTCAGGGTTGGGGGTACTCGTCAGGGTTGGGGGTACTCGTCAGGGTTGGGGGTACTCGTCAGGGTTGGGGGTACTCGTCAGGGTTGGGGGTACTCGTCAGGGTTGGGGGTACTCGTCAGGGTTGGGGTTAGCAGTAATTGTTAGGATTATCATTCTAACCCTGACAATTACTGCTAACGCTAACATGTGACTTTGGACACATAAAGGTTCCTGCACTATTTTGATCCAACTTTGATGCTACTTGAGTGCCAGAGAGTGTAAAGTTGCATCAAAGTCACACTACAAGAACAGAACTGTCATACTTTTCTATTGGCCCCCCCAAAAATGCAAAAAAAACGCATCAAAAACACAACACTAGCGTTTTTTGGTGCATGTTTATTGAAGTTTATTACACACAAAATGCAATCTGCTGCGGGAAAAAAAGTCCCGGACCCTTTCCAAAAAAATGCACGGGCTCAAAATGCACAGATGTGTGATCCATAGGAAACCATGTTAAATGGACAATAGTGCATTTCTGCAAAATACACTAAAACATGCATTTGTGTGAACCAAGGGTAAGAGTGTATCCACTATTTCCGACAGAAAAATGTATACTGACATTTTACTAATGTTGTATGTTCTACAGCTGTTTGTTGTTTTAATACAAAAAACCTTCCTATAAATACTTGCAATAAAGTATTTCTATAATACTTTATTTTCTTCATTGATTGTATTATTTACATTTGGTGAGTTTATCTACCAAGACTAAAATAGTGGATAGGAAGACATGTTTTCTCAAGTGTCAAAAAAGGTGATGAAGTAAATGCTTTTTGAATTAAGGGACATGAACGGTTTGTTTGAATCTTTGACCTTTGGGGGGGTATGTGCACTGATTGTAGTTTTAACTCTGTCATGATTATGTATCAGACTAAAGATGGCCATACATGGCTCAAATTTTGATGGTTTCCTGCTGAATTGGCTGAAATTGGAGCCGTGTGTGGCCCTGTCAGCACTACCTGGCTCTGCAAACTTTGACTGAAAAACAGAAGCCACCAGGTTTTAAAATTGTTGGGTGAACAGGGACAGCATACTGTCAGTTGCAGTTACTGTTTGGGTAGCAACCAGGAATGTCACAGCTGATTAAATATAATATCCAGCAGCAGGGTGAATGAGGTCATCTTAATGCAAATAATCTTATCAGCCTGTGGCAATAGTTTATCAACTCAGATTTTACCGAGGACTGAGACATTTGCCATTCTCCGGAACTATCCCTTAAGATCTTTTCTTCTTTTGCACTCTTATCAAACAGCTTTTTACTGATGGGCTCCTCCATATCTAGGATATCAAGAGCTTGCTGGTACTCTTTTGCTGCGTACTTGAAAAGAAATAAGAAAAGAGAAAAAGAGACCATGCAAATAATGAGTATGTTCCAGATAAAAATTTTACAAAAGCAAATAAACACCTTATGCCTCAAAATGCTTCCCAAACCAGGCAACAAACTAATCATTATAAGCACCTTAAAAAGAATACCTCATTCCTATGACCAGCTGATGAGGTAGAATCCCCAGCACTACACACACTGTAATGACTAGTAAAGGGCCTGCCTCCCATGCACCAACAACCAGATGTTAGCTACTAGCTGGCTTCAGAATCCCCCTCAAAAAAGTGCTGGTCAGCACTGTGCAGCTCCGAATTCAATATTTAAACCTTGTAGCTGCTAAGCAGCTCATTTCAAAGACCTGATTAGCAGAGATATGGACTCCATAACCCCTTCCTCCCATCACAGCCCACAGACCTCAGGATTTTCTAACCTGAAATCTAGAGATGACAAGCCCATTTGATTGGTCAACAACACAAATTACAACTTAGCTGATCTAGAACATCTTTGTTAAAGGAAAAGTGCAGAGTCTATAATTGCTAACCACATTGTAAAAATGCTACTTGACTATCTCAGGCGTCAACATTTTCAGACACACTGACCCAGTACAAGCACTCAGATTACAGAAAGTGAGAACTCCTAACCTGCATATTTGTTCCAGTTAAATGGGAAATGGCTGGAAAAGTACTGAAGCATCTAGATCAGCATGACAGCCTGGGATCAGAGAACATCAGAGAACTATCTGCCCTTTATAAGTACTGCCGATAACATCCACGGTGTCTGGACTGACTCAGCAGACAGGTTCAAGAGATCAGATCGGCCACATCACACAAAGCTTAGATAACCTCTGTGTGTGGGGATAAGATTATGGCGCCATTTCCACTACTGTACTTAAAATCAAATAAAAACAATGTCATAGTATTTGTCTTACTGAAACAAAATGACCACCAATACCTATATAACTTCCTGTCCATTAACGCTCTAGAATGCTGCAAGCTAAATCTGGGTAGTCTCTTTAAACTTGCAATAACTGACAGAACAAAAGATGGCACGGCAAAGTTAAAGCAGGTCTTCACCCTCCATGTAATCATCCCTCCTCCAGTGCTCTGTACAATTAGAATTTTTTCTAATTTACTTTTTTTCCATGAAATTGTCTGGCCGCCCAAAATAACATTCGTCTAGGTAAATGACGTGCACGGTTCCCCCTTTGCCTCTCGGGATATGAACATCACATATCCCAGCAGGCATTCAGTAAAAGAGGGGGTGGGCCTAGCAGGGCATCACCAAGCCATGTACCAGCTGAGCCCAGAACAGCTGGCATCCTCTCGATGACATCACGGCAAAACTTTCCGCTGCAGAGCTGCCAGAAGAGAGAATTATCTCCGCTGGACAGCACTGGATAAGCTGGGTGGGTATCTAAAATTTGCTGATCTCACCATCATGACGGTAGGTGTTAATATACAAAGTGCAGAGGTGGTGGGGAGGGTGAAAAACTACTTTAAGAAAGATGCCACTATATGCTTTTACAAATGAACATTATTTGTGAACAGGCAGGATTCTACATACATGACATCGAGCTGCAAGATAACGACATGCTTCAAACACCTATAATGAAAAGTAAAATACACATAAATAACACTAAATCTTTTCGATAAAATTCCATCAATTCAATGCTACTCTGGTATACTGCATGTGAACATGCTTCTATTCTGCAACCCTTCAAAACAAAAATAAAAAAAATGTATCTTATGTTTCTATGTTCATATGGAAAAAGTGATGATCAAACTTGCTCCCTGTCTACTAATATGCCAGTGGCTTTTCAACAACCCTTTGTTACCCTCAGGCCTCTCCCCTCACCGTTTCTCATGGTGGATTAACAAGGGTATGTACAGGATAGGGCTCTTTCTTGACCATAGAGGGAAAAAACCAGTACAATACTTCCTCCAAACTCTTGGGATGCTCTCGTTGGAAATGTTCTGCTTCCACCAAAAACTCAACTTCTTGAGTTCCCTTAAACAGAATACAGATGGCATTATCTCGAGGATACTTTTTGAGAACAAATGCATCTGGGATGCCGGTTCAAGAGGGGGTGTATCAATAATGTACCTTATACCTTTCCTCACCCTGACAAAATTACCTGATCAGCATGGGAAACATATCAGGGAAAAGAAATAGAAGTGGAGAACTGGTCTACTATAGTGCACAAGGGGATCCTCAACACAACACTCGCAGAGGCGAAGTATAGAGTTCTGTCTCGTTGATATATGGTGCCATCAAGACTTGCCAAGATCTTTCCCGATGCCTCAGCACTATGCTGCAGCGTTGTGGACAGGAAGCCACCATGTACCATGTATGGTGGACCTGTCTGAAAATTAAGCACTTTTCGACCAGAGTGATCCATTTTGTGACCTCTGTTAACCTAGTTAAAAAATGCAAAAACTGTGTTTTTTTTTTTTACGATTTGATGGATGATATTCCCACACATACCCAAGCCCTTATTTTTAATATTCTACTAGCTGTGAAAATGTCTGGTGATGAACATAGCCACAACTAAATTCAAGCTTTCTTGGATAATTTTTCAGGAAAAGCTGGCTAGTATTCTTCCCTGCACATACATGGATCGAAATTCATCTGGTCTCTGCTGAAGCGGCCAAATTTCAATCCATGTATGGCTAGCGTTAGTTTACTTTACCACATGTATCATAATTAAAGGTAGTCAGTAGACCATATAATATATTTGAAACATGATATCAAGTTTATTTACTGCTAAGATTAGCCCCCCCGAGGTTAGCACTTTATAGGGCTTTGGCATGTTAATTCATTTGAGGTAAGCATTTTTGCTTTTTTTTACATGCTATAAAATCAGTAAATATTAAAAAAAAACAAACAATACAGTTTACATACATACATAACAAAAAGTAACTGACGTGCAAAAACGGGGACTTTATAGGAGAGCTGATCAAATTTGTCGGCTGTGGCAAAAACGTACCTTATCCAATTTTCGTGACCGTAAAGCATGTGAAGCTCTGTGATACTGAGTAGTCAGATACAGACATTGTGCCAACCAATAAACATCTTGTGGTTCCTCTGGAAAAAAAAGAACATAAAGCCCTTTACATTTAAAGATTTACAGGATTTTAACCACTTGCATAAATCAAAAGTTCCTCAGGGGAAGAAAAAAAAAAAAAAAAAAAAGACAGGAAACAAAATATTAATCTAATACCTGGAGTGATACCAAAATTAGTCCCCTTCCACATAGGACAGACTCCGCCAGGAGTCCGCTTGCTCAGCGGGGGGGGGGGGGGGGGGGGGGGGGAATCAGTCTGCACACAGATACAGCCCGTTCACCTCTATGGGCGGTTGGATGTAAAAAGGACTGCCTGTCCGTTTACACCCGTCTACCATACGATCTGTTTTTAGCAGATCAAATTGGATGTAGGGGGGTGTAAATAGACACATGTCTGTTTACATCCACTGCTCCATAGAAGCCAATGGAGGGTCTAAACAGTTCTGCCTGAAAAACTGACAGGTGGCTCTAATCAGCTCGCTCGTGTAAATGGGGCCTAAAAAGTTAAAAGTTTGACCGCTTCAACAAGGTGATCATTATCAGCCAAGTGTTTCCCATTATGATTTTCTTATAAATAGGTGCAGAAGTTTTTATGTTACATGTGTTCCGTGTTTAAGAGAGCAGTCATGTTTAGGTTTTGGTTAAATAAAAAAAAAAAAAAAAAAAAAAACAGTGACAACTACATCATCTATTAAGTTTTTATAACTGTGTAAGTCTACCTTAGGGAGGTTTGAATACCCAAACAAACAAAACGGCCTGGTGGTTATAATATCAAAATGAAGAAAAAAAAAAAAAAAAAAAAAAACAACAACCTTGCTAAAACCATACGTGCTCTGTTCAACAAAATGTACGCATTGTGGAGTAGGAGGACATCATGGGTACTGATTTATCCTGGAGAAAAGAAACAAACTGGGGAAATCTCAATGGAGCAGAAGAGGCACAGGGCTGCAAGATTGAATGGAAGAGATGCAGAAGGCAGAGGGCATGGTAGCTTCACAGTGCTGGCTGTAGGTCCCCCATAGAAATGCCCATCAATTGGATTTTAATCTGGAATGGAGCTGCAGCCAGCACAAGCAGAAAAAAAAAAGTTCTATTTTCCAACCACTGGTATGTGCGTTCGGTCCTCTGGAGGGTTTAGGAAGGATTTTCAACTTCTGGGTGAGAACAGTTCTCTAGGGGGTATTAGGTAATGTTTCTACATAATGTGCCCACATAGTTTCTTACTAGCCCGATCAATAGTAGTTATATTTCAATGGGCACTTTAAGGTAGAGAAGTTTCAAAAGAACCTGTAAAAAAACAAGGTGCAGGCTCTGGGACATTCATTCTGATCCTAGCTTCACTATCTAGTGCAGCGGTTCTCAACCTGGGGGTCGCAACCCCTTTGGGGGTCGAACGACCATTTCACAGGGGTCGCCTAAGACCATCGGAAAACACATATTTCCGATGGTCTTAGGAACCGAGACACCGCTCCTCTGTCTCAGGCGATCTGTGGGCGGGATGATATGCTGCCCCTGTCACCTGGCCACACCTCCGGGATCACTCAACAGCTCCGCCTCCTCCACGCCGCTGATTGGCCACCGGAACTGTAGCTCAGGAAATGCACACAGGCGGCCAATCACCGGCGAGGAGGTGGAGCTTGGAGAGGAGGACTGAGCAGCAGCGCGCGTAGATCAAAGAAGATCGAGGGAGCTGCAGGAGAGAGGCCAGAGAAGGAAGACAGCTGACAGGTAAGTGCAAATTTTGCTGCTGCAGCCAGGTATGCAGGCTGTAGATGGGAGAGGGAGAGAGCGAGCCCAGGCTGGAGCAGGGGTCATCAAGGTAAGTATCATTGGTGTCAGTGGGAGGAATAGTGCCCCATCATTTGTGTCACTAATACCAACGATGGGGCACTATTCCTCCCCCCACTGACACCAACGATGGGGCACTATTCCTCCCCCCCCACTGACACCAACGATGGGGCACTATTCCTCACCCCACTGACACCAACGATGGGGCACTATTCCTCCCCCCACTGACACCAACGATGGGGCACTATTCCTCCCCCCCCCCCCACTGACACCAACGATGGGGCACTATTCCTCCCCCCCCACTGACACCAACGATGGGGCACTATTCCTCCCCCCCCACTGACACCAACGATGGGGCACTATTCCTCCCCCCACCGACACCAACGATGGGGCACTATTCCTCCCCCCACCGACATTCCTCCCCCCCCACTGACAACGATGGGGCACTATTCCTCCCCCCACCGACACCAACGATGGGGCACTATTCCTCCCCCCACCGACACCAACGATGGGGCACTATTCCTCCCCCCACCGACACCAACGATGGGGCACTATTCCTCCCCCCCACCGACACCAACGATGGGGCACTATTCCTCCCCCCACCGACACCAACGATGGGGCACTATTCCTCCCCCCACCGACACCAACGATGGGGCACTATTCCTCCCCCCACCGACACCAACGATGGGGACACTATTCCCCCCCCCCACTGACACCAACGATGGGTCACTATTCCCCCCCCCCCGACCCCAATGATGGGGCACTATTCCTCCCACTGACGCCAATGATGGGGCACTATTCCTCCCACTGACACTATTCCACCCACGATGGGGCACTATTCCTCCCACTTACACCCACGATTGGGCACTATTCCTCCCACTGACGCCAATGATGGGGCACTATTCCTCCCACTGACGCCAATGATGGGGCACTATTCCTCCCACTGACGCCAATGATGGAGCACTATTCCTCCCACTGACACCAATGATGGGGCACTATTCCTCCCACTGACGCCAATGATGGGGCACTATTCCTCCCACTGACGCCAATGATTGGGCACTATTCCTCCCACTGATACCAATGATGGGGCACTATTCCCCCCACTGACACCAATGATGGGGCACTATTCCTCCCAATGACACCAATGATGGGGCACTATTTCCTCCCACTGATACCAATGATGGGGCACTATTCCTCCCACTGATACCAATGATGGGGCACTATTCCCCCCACTGACACCAATGATGGGGCACTATTCCTCCCACTGACACCAATGATGGGGCACTATTCCCCCCACTGACACCAATGATGGAGCACTATTCCTCCCACTGACACCAATGATGGAGCACTATTCCTCCCACTGACACCAATGGTGGAGCACTATTCCTCCCACTGACACCAATGGTGGAGCACTATTCCTCCCACTGATACCAATGATGGGACACTATTCCTCCCACTGACACCAATGATGGGGCACTATTCCTCCCACTGACACCAATGATGGGGCACTATTCCTCCCACTGACACCAATGATTGGGCACTATTCCTCCCACTGACACCAATGATTGGGCACTATTCCTCCCACTGACACCAATGATTGGGCACTATTCCTCCCACTGACACCAATGATGGGGCACTATTCCTCCCACTGACATCAGTGATGGGGCGCTAGTCCTCCCACTGCAAAATTACAGTTATGAAGTAGCAACGAAAATAATTTTATGGTTGGGGGTCATCACAACATGAGGAACTGTATTAAGGGGTCGCGGCCTTAGAAAGGTTGAGAACCACTGATCTAGTGAGTAACTGACTCAGAATAATCATGCAGTCAGTGAAGTCTAAAGGCTTGTCCAAGTCAGTAACTCACTAGATAGTAAAACCAGCATCAGCATGACAGCCTCATATCTTGCACTTCTAAAGGAATCTCTGTATTTTTACTCTTACTGGAGAACATCAGCAAGCTGCTCAGCTGTACCTTAGCAGATGTATTACTGTATTTATGAGAAATCTTCCCTTTGCCTAATCTGTCACCATATAGCTAGCTATGATGGATAAAACGTATAGACTATAAAATCTACTAATTATTTTTAAATCACACTTTACCAGGTACCACCGTAACAGTTATTCAATAGATCAAGACCTTACATGGACATAAGTACAAAAAGGATTCTTCTTTATGAAAGTGGAAATAGAAATCCAATTGATTATCCCAATATTCAAAAAACAGTACTGGGAACTTTTTCTTTAACCAATTGATCCCATCTGCTGTTTGAAGGTGGCCCTGGTTTCTAAATTATTTGTCGCAGAACCATTTGGATCAGTAGCTGGTCTCAGCAACTGTAGCGGGTCTGACAGGATTAAACACTGGAACCAGTAACTGTCAGTGGCAGTTACAGTCCAGAACTAATCCTAGGTGATGAATTGATTAGCTCATAAGATTAGCAATCCTGTTATGAAGCATTCATCAAGAGTTCTCTGTAGTAATGCAGTGCAATGATTAAAAAGGGGACATGTTGAGATGTCTCTACCTCCTCTAAGCCCAGCAGCCATCTTTACACAGGGCAGAGGGTGTGAAATGTACAAATCTTTGCAAATGTCACCAGTGAGCTAATTTCTGCCTATGCAAACTCAGCTTGATCTTATCCGATTACAATAATAATTTGCACAATTTTTTTTTCCTGTGTCTGTACCAAGATGTAACTTGAACAAAGTAAAAAAAGATTGTCCTTAAAGTGATATTAAAGGTTTGTTTTTTTTCGATTTTAAAACAAACATGTCATACTTACCTGCTCTGTGCAATGGTTTTGCACACAGCAGCCCAAATCCTCTTCTTCTTGGGTCCACTGCTGGTGCTCCTGGCTCCTCCCCCTTGACCGGTGCCCCCATAGCAAGCCGCTTGCTATGGGGGCACTGGCGCATGCTCACTTATAAGTCCCACTCTATATGTCCATAAGACATAGAGCTGCAGCTCGCCTCCGACCCCCGCTCTCTCCTCATTGGCTCACTGACTGTGAGCAGTGGGAGCCAATGGCTCCCGCTATTGTGTCTCAGACAAAGAGGAGAGAGAGACCCAGGGCAGCCGAAGCTCCTGTGCACAGCGCTGGATCGACAGGGGGCTCAGGTAAGTGTTGGGGGGGCCTGTAATGGGAGCAGCACACTGAAGGTTTCTTACCTTGGTAACAACCCTACAGCTTTACAACCACTTTAATTAGCAAGTGCAAAACACACACTTTTGTGATTTCCTTTTAGAAAGAAATTTCTGTGCATTACATTTTGTAGCAGCTGTCTGGGGACGTGCAAATTATGTGAAAATATATGTGTTCAAGTCCACTATTAAATTACAATACACCTAAAGAAACAACTTTTTTCCTCATGTTTTATAGAGTAAAGCTTGCTTCACATCTGAGTGGGTGGTGCCGCTCCGGGGCCCGCGCAAATACCTGCAGTCGCACAACCCACAATGTGGGATCTGCAGGCGGGTGCCATTCATTCTAAATTGCAACCATACTGGGAACCTTGGTTCCCATGCGGGCTGCGATTTCCAAAGAAGCGCAGGGACTTCTTTCCAGCGTGTCCCGGGGCACGGGGGGAATTAAATCAATTGAATGGGCTCTCGTGCCCGCGCAAATCACGGCCTGCACATATGTGAACCTGGCCTAAGGGAGGGCTATAACCCCTATCAGTTTTTTTTTTCTTGGTTGCCATTTCTTTCCCACTGGGGGGGGGGGATTTCACCTTCACTTCCTGTCCCATAACCAAAACGGGAAGAGATAGGATATCCCTTCAATATGAGGGAATCCTTGGCTGTCAAGGGGGTCAGCAGTACTAGTGTTTCCATTATTTTACTTTTCAGGGGACAACCCAAAATTAGTGATTTTTCTTTTACTGTTACTTTCACTTTCGTTGATAACGGTAAACGTAACAAATAAAGAGAGTGAATATCCCTAATGGAGCACAGAAAAAAAAAAAAAACTGACAGATGTTCTAACTTCTCTCCACTCTATCCAAAACTAAATAAAAAAATGAGATAGATAGATAGATAGATAGATAGAAAGATAGATAAAAGGATGGTAGGAGGAAAAAAAGCACTTCAAAATGGTTAGAGAAAACCCATAAATGAAGAACAGTCAAATTTGCAGAGTATCCTGGACAAAATAAACATTTTTGTATTAAAGCAAAGCAGTTTTATTGTGGTGACAGACGACAAGGGGTTCTTACCATGCGATAGTGAAGCTACCTTATCTGCCCAAAACAAGGCACTCTGGTACTGTTGCTGCAAGACACAGAAAAGCAACCAAGTATTATTCAGTGCAAGTATTCACTTTTACACAAGATGCACAACAGATTTTGTACCTAGTAAACCAGCTGACACTTGAGTTTCTAAAGCTCTGAGGAATTTTTTTTTCTGGTCTGTGCAATTCTCTTGACATTAACCACATTAAAGGAGTTCTATGGTCACAGAATACACTTTCATATAACATCAGCAATATGATAGCAATACAAACAATAGTTATTTTTGGTAGGCTAATGGAAATGTACATAAAACATCTTCTTTCAGGTTGTGAGTTCTGCCTGTCTTCTGACCATCTCTTTCCACAACTTCCTGCATTCTTCGCAGCTTCTATCTGCTGTTTACTTTTAATTTCTAAGGACTACATACCCCACAGTACCTTGCTGCCCCCAAGCAGTGATTCCTGTACTGACTCTGCCTCCTGAAACTCCTCCTCTCAGCACTTCTGTAGTTCAGAAGGCAGGATCTGTGAATTCTGTGACACAGCAGATGAAATCTGGTACTGCAACATGACCATGATGTGTATACCCTGTATAGCAGGGGTAGGCAACCCTAAAGAGGTGGAGATCTACCTGCACAACATGGAAGAATTCAAAGATCACAGGACACAGTGTCACTTCTCACACCCGATTTAAACCTCTAATTGCTGTACTACTGTGTAGCAATTGAGTGCACTGCACGCAGGGTGGATAAAAATCAATGATTTTTTTAAAAAAAAAAAATCAGATTTTTTTTATTTAAATCGGATTTTTTTTTTATTTAAATCTGATTTTTTAAAATAAAATGCTTTTTGAGGAAAATATATTACCATCCAAAGGTTATTCCATCATGAAATAAAGATTAGTTTTTTTTAATTATGTAGAATAAGGCTGTATATGTTTAATTTTTTTGGTAAATAAATTCCATGAATCCATTCACAATGTCATGCTCTTCCAGAGGTTTTTGTAAGATTATTGGGCAGTTTCTCTGCCTACAAGATATTATCACAGATGCTTGGTTTACTTTTGCAGTTCTCAAAACTGAATTTGACTCAGCGGAGATCACATGCCTCTTCTTCACAGCAAAAATGTTATAACATGAACAGAGTTAAGAAAAAGACCTTAATCCTAACTTCTACAAACCTATGAATACAGAATCAACCCCTTCAGTGCTAAGTTTCAAGAAGTTCAGTGAATAGAATAGAAACAATATTTTTCTGATTGTTTGGAGTGGAATAGATCTGCACAAGAAGAAAGTGAAACGAAGTGTGAGGAGGAAGGGGCTGACAGTCTAAGTTTCTTAAAATATATATATTTTGTTTAGCCAAATTAGTTAAACATGGATGTTTGTTTAAGCAAATACCATATGCTGGAATGTTATTGTTTCAGTTGAATAAATCTATTTAAATTGTTATTATTAAGGTAATGATTATTTTTCTCCTTCCTAAATACAACAGAAAAGTTGTCCAAATATGAATGATTAACCTATTAAACTGGGGATAAAAAAAACTAATATGAAAAGTTGTTATTCTAAAAATCTTCATCTACTTGTATATTAAAGTTATACCAGCAAGAATTAGTCTTTATGTTGAAAACTATTTATTTATTTATCGAGTTTATATAGCGCCAAAGGGTTTGCTCAGCGCTGTACAATAGAGGGGGGACAATACATGAAACAGTACAGTAACATCAAACAGCACACAAGGGGTAAGAGGGCCCTACTCTTTCGAGCTTACAATCTAGGAAGGAGGGGGTAGAGGTACAGGAGGAAATGGCTGTGGGGGATGGAATGGTAGGAGGAGGGAAGGGCAGCGGCTGTTAGGTGAGGGTGGGGTAGGCTTCCCTGAAGAGGTGGGTTTTCAGGGAGCGCCTGAAGGTGAGGAGGGAGGGTGACAGTCTGATGGATTGGGGTAGTGAGTTCCAGAGGATGGGGGAGGACCTGGAGAAGTCTTGCAGTCGTGCGTGGGAGGAGGAGACCAGGGAGCAAGATAGAAGGAGGTCCTGTGAAGAGCGAAGGGTACGGGTAGGGTGGTACCTGGGAATCAGGTCGGTGAGGTAGTTAGGGGCAGTGTTGTGAATGGCCTTATAGGTCAGAGTGAGCAATTTGAATTTAATGCGTTGGGCAATGGGGAGCCAGTGGAGGGAGAGGCAGAGGGGGGTGGCAGAGGTGGAGCGGTTGGTGAGGTGGATGAGTCTGGCAGCTGAGTTCAGGATGGTCTGAAGCGGGGAGAGTTTGCACTGGGGTAGGCCAGTGTGGAGGGAGTTGCAGTAGTCCAGGCGTGAGATAATCAGGGAGTGTACGAGTAGTTTAGTGGTGTCTGGGGTAAGGAAGGAGCGTATTTTGGCGATGTTGCGGAGGTGGAGCCTGCATGTATTTGTAAGTGATTTGATATGAGGTTGGAAGGAAAGGTTTCAGTCCAGAATGACGCCAAGGACCTTGGCTTGCTGGGCGGGATTGATGGTGGTGTTGTTGGTAGTGATGGAAAGGATGGGGGGGGGGGGGGCGCGGGCTGGGGGGGAAGACGAGAAGCTCGGTTTTGGAGAGGTTGAGCTTGAGGAAATGGAGCGACAGCCAGTCAGAGATGTCGTTTAGGAGATGAGTGATGCGGGCGGAGAATGTGGGGGTGAGGTGAGGGGTGGATAGGTAGATTTGAGTATCATCAGCGTAGAGGTGGTAATTGAAGCCGTGATTTAAATCAAGCCTTACTGACTAGTGATTTAAATCGTGATTTAAATCAGTTTGATTTAAATCAAATCCACCCTGACTGCACGACAATCATTGGTTTAAATCAGGTTTTAAGAAAGCAAAATATCGCCTCCTTACCACCTGGCAAACACACTCAGATCACTTTTCAGAGGAGCAGCATTGCCTGCTGCACTTGTGAATGAGCCCTTCAGCAGCAGCACCCTTAGAGCTCGATCACAGGTAAAGTTGGAGGGTGGGAAAACCCTGCGGTTGAGTTGTGGTTTTACTCCCCGCCCCCCCTTAATCCTTACCCCCTTTAGCTGCTGAGGAAGCAGCTAACGGTGTACACATGCCACAGCAGGATTTAAACCCCCTGTTGCTCTTGTTGGGTGCTACTGCCTGTCAGCCGTGACCCAAGTAAATGGGGTCACTCTGCAGGCATCCTGCAACTCAATGCTTCTGTGAAGCACAAGGGGTTAAAGCAGGTGGTGAGAAAGCAACACAAAGTTGCCTGCTTTAACTCCTTCTTTGCTGTACTGCACAAGGTTGCAGGGCACTTGCAGAGCAGCCTCATTCACCTGAATGGGTAATGCTTGGCAAGTGCTACACCCCCACCGACCATGACAGGATGTATAACTCCTACTGCGGCTGTAACATGTGTATACCCCTGGCCACTGCAGCTAAGGGGGAACTTGCAGAGCAGCCTCATTCACCTGAATGGGTAATGCTTGGCAAGTGCTACACCCACCGACCATGACAGGATGTATAACTCCTACTGCAGCTGCAACATGTGTACACCCCTGGCCACTGCAGCTAAAAGGGGTGCGGCTGGGGCGGTAAAAACACATCGTTACCTATGGGGTTTTAACACCCCTAAACTGCAAATAATCCCTTACTGTTCTGAGTCCCTATAAGGCTTCCTTCACACTAATGTGCTGGGGTTTATATACACTGCAAGTGCAGCGCAGCGCATCTGAGACTTTCCTGGGTTAGCTGCACTTTTCCATAGGCTTTGATTATATCCTGCAAGTGTGGAGCACTTTCTGAAAGCACACCAAAACTCCTGCATTTTGGAGTTTTGGTGAGCTTTCATACAGTGCACCAAACCCGCAGGATATAAGAGAACTCTATCTGCAGGAAAGCTGCAGGTACAGTGAACTGCACCCGCGGTGTTGGTAAATCGCAGCGCATCAGTGTGAAAGCAGCCCTGTACTGTATTGCTTGACACTGACCTGAAGATCTCTTCTTTCCTGCTTCTGGCACCACTCTGGAGACCGCTAGCCAGGATAAGAGGTGAGTGCAGGTGGTATCACTCTGCATGGGACGGGAGCCGGCACTCCGCATGGGACGGGAGGCGGCACTCCGCATGGGACGGGAGGCGGCACTCCGCATGGGACGGGAGGCGGCACTCCGCATGGGACGGGAGGCGGCACTCCGCATGGGACGGGAGGGGACTCCGCATGGACGGGAGGCGGTACTACAGAGGAGGCATCGGCTTATGCGGCTCTTGCTTCCTATTACAGCTCCAACCTTACAAGTAGTCCCTCTGCATTGCACTCTGATGTTCTATGATGGCGGGTCAGCAAGCCCAGACCCTGATCTACTAGACAGCTGGCCACGATCTACAGGTTGGTGACCCCCGTATAGCACGCCCTGCTCCAGCAGCAAGCTGCATGTGAATACATTTTATGATTTTTATTCCTGACCAGCACAGACCAAGGAAATCATACTGTAGGTTATAACAGGCAAACCATATTCCTGGCTCGGCTCAGCCATCACACAGGTCACCCTCCATATGGGAGGAAGAGGCACACTGCCAAGCTCAGCAGCGTGAGTCTGCACCCACCCTAGCAGGAGGCACTGTCGTATCACGTGATGCACGGCCGTCACGTGTTCTCACCTGCTCTATATACTGCCGCACTCGCTTTCGTAAACGATCCAAGTTCATGTTTGTAGCTGGGTGACGAGGCTGGAGGGAGGCGCGCCCACGAGGAAGGTGCGCGCCTCCGGAATTGGCAAACGTGAAATACACTGATGGGCACCGGCGATAGCCTCACCCCCCTGGACGTGTAACACCGGTTCCGGATCTTCATACACGCCGGGGTGCAGAAGTACGAGCTGCAAAAGCGCTCAGGAAGAATCGGTGTTACATAGATCGCTCACCGGCCGGAAACTCTGTACGACGCTTACTGGTTCCGGATGGCACAACACAACAGTAGAGTAGAATAGCATGGCTGCTGCATTCTGGATGTATATGTGAAGCTTGGAGCTTTCCAGTTGTTTTTGCTTCTATACTGACTTATATGGGAAAGAAAAGCAGAGCTCTTTTTGTAACCTGTAATTGCTGTCAACTTAACCGCTTGCCCCCCAGAGGATTTACCCCACTTCCTGACCACTACATTTTTGTGTTACTTTATCTGACAATTGCGCAGTCATGCAACGCTGCACCCAAATTAAATTTACATCCTTTTTTCCCCGCGAATAGAGATTTCTTTCAGTGGTAGTTGATCACCTGTGCGGTTTTAATTTTCTGAACTATAAACAAAAAAATACTGACCATTTTGAAAAAAAATATTTTCAACTATAAAACACATCCAGTAAAAAAATTTAAAAAATCAACTTTTGTCATAAGTTTAGGCCAAACTGGATTCTGCTACATGTCTTTGCTAAAAAAAAAAAAATCCTAATACCTGCAAATTAATTGGTTTACTTGAAAGTTATAGGGTCTGCAAATGGCGGTATATATACTGGAATTTTTATTTATTTTTTTTTATACTAGTAATGGCGGCACTCAGCGGGACTGCAGTGGGCATTCTGACACTGGGTGGGAACTGACTTTGTGTCACTGACATCCCCAGTGACACTTAACAGTGATCGGTGCTAATAAAAAGCACTGACACTGTACTAATGACACTGGGCAGAAAAGGGTTCACATCTGGGGTGATCAAAGGGTTAACTGTGTGCTGTTTTGCTATGTGTGCTTTACTATGCAAGCACGCTGCTTTGTTTTGCTGTGCTATGCAGAGCAATACAAAGCAGTGTGCAGGAGCTGACAGGGGAGAGATCTGTATTGCTTACATACAGCCCTCTCCCCTGTCAGTGATACTCGACGATCACCCGGTGCTGGCGGGGAATCACCAGCCGGACCCAGTGATCGACAGCTGAAGCTGCCAATTGCGGCACGAGTGGTGTGCCTCCTACCCGGAAATACAAAATTACATATATATGCGTGATTTTATGCATCCCTGTAGCAGTAGTTCTCCAAGTGGGCGGTCCAGAAGTGGTTAATATATAACATAAGGAATTTTTTGTTTTGACCAGAATGGAGACCCCTGTCAGGTTTGTATTGCTGTATGTGCCACAGCAAGATTTTCCCTCTCTATTCTTGTTCTGTGTTTAATCACATAAAGTAAGGGCAAATCCCAAACAAGAATCGAGGGGAAGTCTTCCAACGGGTACACTAGTTCTGGTGAAACCACGGGAATCCCTCACCTTGTAGGGATTTTCTGTCACTTCCTGTTATGGCTATGAGACAGGAAATCAAGAGACGTCTCCCCAATAGGATAAAGATGGCAAAAAAACCCAACGGGGTTTAACCCTCCCTCTTTCTATCCAAAATAAAAATGTGAAAAAATAGCCTTTAGTTCTATTTTAGGAGATATAGGTGGCGCTATATGCGGCGTTTGACAAATAATCCCCAGCATAGGTAATGCTGAAGGGCACTGTTCGAACACCCCTTACATGTTGGTGGAAATGATGGTCAGAGAAAGAATAATTTACAGGTTTGGCTAAAAACTTCGGCTGCATTCACACTTGTGCGACTTTACAGTGGGACTTGATGTGACTTCGGATGAGAGCGACATTGGCTTTGAACAGGAATGATTGTTTTGCTGTACAAAGTCACACACAAGTTGCATGTATATCATTCAGACTTTCATGCAGTTTTGGAGGGTTTACATTGACATCTATGGCCCTCAAGTCGCATGAAAGTCAGACCAAAGTAGTGCAGGAACTACTTTCAAGTCGCTGTGACTTTAAGTCGCACAGATCTCAGTGGTATTCATTGTGAAACATGGGGTGCGACTTGTCGTGACTTTAAACCCCAAAGTCGCATGACAAGTCGCACAAGTGTGAATGGGCCCTTATAGAGGAGCTTCACTCCCCCTTTAGATTTTTTTTCCCCTCTGCTGCTGACTGGATTCTGCACTGCCATCCTCAATACCGACATCATCAGAAGGCCAAGTATCTTTTCCACTTCTTGCACATGACTCCCTGATGACACAATGCCACACATGTACAGCACGCCTGGTTTTACCCTGAATCCTCCTGGGATGTGCGATATAAATGTCCCACAAGGCTGGGGGAAGGCAAGTAAAGCCAGAGGAGTGGGTCTGGGTTCTGCAGAGGTATTTTGGGGGTAAAAAAAAAAAAATAATATCTGATGTTTTAAAAGGGAGGGGTAATGAAACACAATAAAGTACTTAGCAAGGATGACAGTTCACTTTGAGTTGGCCATACACTGGTATATTTTTAGACGAGCGTTCTCGTCAATACATATGATAATGCCAACAGAGGCTTGATGAATGTTGTTCAAAAGTACTGCTGTGCAGAGAAATACAAAGCAACATGTCCATGCTGGCAGGAGAGAGACCTGAGTTGTTTACACACAGGTCTCTCCCTTGTCAGCTTTACTCAGCTATTGCCGGGTGTCGGCGGGGAATCTCTGTCCAGGACCCGGTGTTTGACATCCCTAGCAACCAATGGTGGTGCGGGTAGGGCGGTGCATGCCCCCTACCCTGAAATAGAAATCACGTGTATATATACGTGATTTTGCACAGCCGTGCCGCCCTGTAGCAGTAGTTCTACTAAAGGACGGCAGGCAAGCGGTTAATATTTTGTTTGCTAATTCAACAACCTTCCGGTCCATCAAATGCTCTCATCAATATGATCAAAAACAATTGTTGATTTGCCCCAGTAGCCATTAGAAAATAAAACATTCCGAAAACAAAAATGTCCAAACAAAATTCAACTTAAAGACATGATGGAGATGTCAGTGAGAGAGTGGGAACATTTACATGAGGTTAGTAGAAATCACTGTTATAACCCCTCTACAAATCAATATTCAATAAAGATTGCCGGGTCCAAGGGCTGCACAACAAGTGTCAAAGGGCAGCTTGTAGCCCTACGGCCACAAGTGGGGCACCAGGACTCATAATATCAAAACTCTTGATGTTAGCAGACCTGGCAACAAAATTTAAGGTCTGCTTTTTAGTTAGACATCATGGAAAAATGTCTTGTTTCCATCTCCTGGGTCTAGGTGGGGATCATGTTTCAGACTTTCACTGAGATCACAGAAAAGCTCCTAAAGAGACTTTCCACCACTGTGCAGGAGTGTCTTCTCTCAAGACTTGGTATCTCGCTGGAAGACCTTTAGGGCTCATTCACACCATGGTGCAGAGCCATTATGTTTTCTGCACGCGTTCTGCAAACGTGAGGGTATTCATAGGGCATATGTATGCACTTATTTAGTTTAACCGTTACAATACCGGGCAATTTTACACCTTCCTGACCAGGCCATTTTTCAGGTTTCAGCGCTCTTACATTTTGAATGACAATTGCGCAGTCATACAACATTGTACCCAAACTAAAATTTTATCATTTTCTTCACACAACTAGAGCTTTCTTTTGGTGGTATTTAATCACCGCTGGGGTTTTTATTTTTTGCTAAATTAACAAAAAAAGACAAAACATTTTGAAAAAAAAAAAACACGTTTTTCTTTGTTTCTGTTATAAAAGTTTACAAATAAATAATTGTTCTTCATAAATTTAGGCCAAGATGTATTCTGCTACATGTCTTTGGTGAAAATAACCCACATTAGGATGTATTTTTTAGTTTGTAGGAAAGTTATAGAGTTCACAAACTATGGTATAGATCTGAAAATTGATCAATCCTGAAGTACTGACAGCCAATCTAATTTCTTGAGGTCCAAGAATGTCAGAACAGTACAGATATCCCCAAATGACCCGTTTTTGCAGAGTAGACAGTCTGACGTACTTCATAAGAGGCATGGCGAGTTTTTTGAAGTTGTATTTTTTTTGTCATCATTTTTCGAAAATGAAAAAATTAAAAAAATTATTTTCATATTTGTTTTTTTTACATACTGTCACCAGTGCAGTACAGCATCATCATATAACTGGCATGGCGGTGATCAGGGACACTGACTGGTGACAGTATGGAAAAATATATATATATATATATATTTTTTTTTATTATTATTTTTAATTTTTTCTTAAATTTTTTTTTTTTAAGATTTTTTTTACATATTTTACTATGACCAAAGTAGTACGATGTTACCATAGTAACATTGTACTACTTTGGGAAAGTGATCAGTATTTTTTTTTTTTACACAATTTGCTTATAGCAAAGAATTACTTTGCTATAAGCAAGCATTTACCTGAATGACATCGATTCATTCAGGTTTTATTTTTTTTTGTTTTTTTTTTTGTGCTTAGCTGTGATTTGGCCACAGCTAATCACATGACATGTGCATGTTACCTGCTGTGACCATTCACAGCTAGACACTAGTATACAATGGATGTCATGAATGAAGCCATCCATTGTATACAACTGTCATGTGACCTGCTGTGATTGGTCACAGCAGGTCACATGGTACCGGCAACAGGGGCCGGTACTCAGATCTGTCATCGGCCATGTCCGAGGTACACGGCCGGTGATCAATCGCGCGGCTCTGCAACCGCGCGAACTGCGCATGTGCGGGAGGACGCCAAATGGCGTACACCTCGGAAATCTAATACATTTTTGCGGCCGCCAAACGGCTATAGGCAGTGTGGCTAATGGTTAACTATTACAGTGTTTAATTTTTTTTAGCATTTTTCAGAAGTTTGAAGGTTTCCATAGTGCTCATAAAGTTTTAAGAGTTCACCTAGCACAGTATCCATTTGAATTAGCCTTTTAAGAGACGATATCCTCTTGTATACTTGCAGCTTTGTGACTTCAGTTGATTGTGGATTTGCAGGGTTTGATCTTACATACATGATCAATTTATCAATTGGTTCAGCTGATGAAATGTACCCATGATCCCCTCTCTAGATGCAGGAAGGTGTATTGTGTGCATCAGCTTGGCAGCTCCTTTAAAGGGTACTTTGGCTAGAATGTTGGTCTTTGGTACAAGAACAATCACCTTCCCCAGACCCACAAGCTGTAGTCTTCTACACTTTAAAAAAAAACGCCTTCCTTCATTTTTCTTCAAGCATTCCTATTACTCCTAGAAGACTCATGCTAAATCTTTCTATTCTACAAAGGTCAAACCTGAAACTTGACAAAGACAGACCTAACCCACTAAGTCCTCTATATACTCCCCCCCCCCTTCCCCAATGCAGCCAGAAATGATTTTATTTTAATAATACACACTGCCTGTTTTTTTTTTGTTTTACTTTTTTTGTTTTTTTTTTAATAACATTTATAATTGCTTTGAGTTTGTCTTTAAAGCGGAACTTCACCCAAAAAGGGAAGTTCCACTTGTTTGCCCTCCCCCTCCAGTGCCATTTTTTAGCACTTTTTTGGGGGGTAGAGGGTACCTGGTTTTGTCAGATACCCATTCCCACTTCCAGTCAGATGCACCACAGTGATCTGAGCCAGAACTAGTAATAGATGTCCACCTCCCTGCCATTATTTTTACAATACAGAGGTGGGAAGGTGGTTAATTCATTACCCACTTTCTTTCTATCCTATAGCAGTTTTACTGCTACAGGAAAAATGTGATTGATTGTGTGTCCCTGCAGAGCTGGGAACATGATTCATCACTTCCTCTTGTACCAGCTCCATCTAGTATTACACAAGTACTTAGCTAGGCACACACTTAACCCTTTGATCACCCTAGATCACAGGAGTGAAACTGGTGGCCCTCCAGCTTTTGCAGAGCTACAAGTCCCATGAGACATTGCAAGGGTGACAGTTACAAGCATGACTCCCACAGGCAGAGGCATGATGGGAATTGTTCTTCTGCAACAGCTGGAGGGCAGTCAGTTTGACACCCCTGCCCTAGATATTAACCCCTTCCCAACCAGTGTCAGTATATTTTTAGCACTGATCCCCACAATGTGTCAGTGTAAAAATGTCTGCCTTAATATTGCAGTCCCGCTATAAGTCACTGATCACCGCCATTACTAGTTTAAACAAAACGTTTTTTAAAAATTCAAGTATTTGTCCCAAAGTTTGTAGACACTTTTGTGCAAACCATCAATATATCTTATTGGAATTTTTTTTTTACCAAAAATATTTAGCAGAGTACATTTTGGCCTAAATTTATGAAGAAATTAGATTTTTAATTTTTTTTAATTGGATATGTTTTATAGTAGAAAAATATTGTTTTTTTTTGTTTTTTTTTTACAAAATTGTCAATCTTTTTTTTGTTTATAACGCAAAAACCACAAAGGTGATCAAATACCACCAAAAGATAGCTCTAACTGTGGAGGGAAAAAAGGACATAAATTTAATTTGAGTACATCGTTGCATGACAGTTAAAATTCCGCAGCACTGTCTTGCAAAAAATGGCCTGGTCAGGAAGGGGGGTAAATCTTCCAGAGCTGAAGTTTTTAATGATTGATGCAATATTCCAGAATGTTTACTTTGAAACATAGTTGATATATCTTAAGAAGTAGAAGAAGCACTCCTGACCATCAACCAGTCAGAAAACAGATGTTTCCAGTGCAGACTTAGAAATGACACTGATACCCATTTGTGCAGAACAGCTCATTTATTCTTTGTTCTAGTATTCATTCAAAGTCCTATTGCATAGCATGGGGAGAACTGGGCTGGAAAATGGGGGCAAATAAGATATGTTGGACTTTTAGCCCTGAGTGGAGATGCTTTTAAACATGCAGTCACAATATGTAGCAGAGACAAATCTTGTGGCATCAGCTTCCTTTGCAACTCTGAAATGACATGACCAAATGCCGGAAGGTGCAAAGCTAACTGATGCTGGAACATGTGAAGGCATGTCACAATATACCAGGTCTGTTAGGAACAGTAATCTTTCACAAAGCCCCCCAGTCAATACAGCCCCATGGCACACTTTTTTCACCATAAAACGGTTAGTTCATTGTGTTTGGCCCCCAGGATAAAGGTTCCCAGCTCCCCCGGTGCATATGGTCTAAATGACCAAATGCCGGAAGGTGCAAAGCTAACTGATGCTGGAACATGTGAAGGCATGTCACAATATACCAGGTCTGTTAGGAACAGTAATCTTTCACAAAGCCCCCCAGTCAATACAGCCCCATGGCACACTTTTTTCACCATAAAACGGTTAGTTCATTGTGTTTGGCCCCCAGGATAAAGGTTCCCAGCTCCCCCGGTGCATATGGTCTAAATGTATAGCAGCAATTTCAGTGTCTATGCTCATTGTCTCCTAATTATTGTAGGCAGCACTAGGTATTTGTCACTGTTTACATTGAGAGACAATTGTATAAAATAAACTTTTGGCCCAATCCAGTCTGTTCTCAGTTCTTCATAGTTACTCTTTATGATCTTTGTTACTATATTTTATCATTCCACATCCTACGAAATACTACATATAGTTTAGAGTTGTCCTTTAATTCCCCTATTCCTCTGGGTGCAGCCCATCTAGTAACATACTTTCCTTCCTGACACAGTGATATTTGATGTGCCTCCTGCCCAGTGGTGTGCAACCTTCACAAAGAAAACCTCCAACCAGATCCTCTTCATACTGCACATGTGACCAACAATGCATCCATATAGGACAGTTCTATTCTTGGTGGCCTTTAACAGTCCTGCTAAGTGTGACCACCTCATAGGAATAATTAGGGCCACGGTGCACATGTGCAGTATGAAAGCTGTCTAGTACTGGGTAGGACTGCACAGCAAACATTGCTGGATTGGATAGGAAGGTAAGTACAGTATGATGCCTGGTGGGTTGAACTCAGGAGGGTGGGGGAAATCAAACAAATCCATTCACAGCAAGAGATGACTGTTTTCAGAACATAATGCTTATTAATAATCAAATCTTTATCTAAATCATGGTCTGCATGATGTGATTCCTCATCCTCTTTTATCGCTTTTTTTCATCTTTCTCCTCGTCACTTTCAGAATCTTCTGATCTGTAAGATTTGTCTTCTCTGCCAGTGTCATAATAACTGTCTTCATTTGCATCCTCTGGTGCTTTCGAAGCCTCCTCTTTTTTGTCCCCTATCCCTGACTTATCTTCTTTCTCCTCTGTGTCATCATGGACTTCCTCTGGCTTGCTTTCTGTTATAGGCTGATTTGCCTTTTGATCCTTTCCTTTGTTACTATCTACTTCCTTGTGATCCTTAGTTTCCCTGATGGCCATGCTGTCATTGTCTTTCTTTTTCGCATTTTGTGGTATATTTTCCTCTTTCTCTACTGATTCCTTCTCTGTGTCAACATCATCTTTACTAGTCTTCTCTTCAGTTCCGATGTCCTTCTCAGCTTCCTGCTTTGAAGATTTCTTTTTTCTTTTTGAAGTCTACAGAAAAATTACATATTATTATTATCATACAGGATTTTTATAGTGTCAACAGTTTGCACAGCACTTTACAATATAAAAGGAGACAGTTCAGTTAGAATACAATAAAATCAATAGGATTAAGTGGGCCCTGCTCATAAGAGTTTACAATCTAATAGGGTGGGGCAAGTGGTACAAAAGGTTATAACTGTGGGGGATGAGCTGATGGAAGGGATACATTTTTAGTTGGAGGCATGATAATCTTCCCTAAAGAGAGGAGTTTTCAGGGATTGCCTAAAGGCAGCCAGAATAGGGGATAGCTGGATAGATTGAGGTAGAGAGTTCCAGAGGATGGGAAAGGCTCTGGTAAAGTCCTGAAGATGGGCATGGGAGGAGGAGGAGACAAGGGAGCTTGAGAGCAGGAGTTCATGAGAGAAGCAGACAGGACGGTTTAGGTGATATTTGGAGACAAGATTGGTGATGTAGCTCGGGGCAGAGTTGTGAATAGCTTTGTATGTTGTTAAAATTTTGAATTGTTTTCGTTGGGCAATGGGAAGCCAATGGAGGGATTTGCCAGAGAGGGGTGGAAGACACTGAACGGTTGGTAAAGCAGATGAGTCTGACAGCAGCATTCATGATAGACTGAAGAGTGGATAGCCTACCGAGAAGTAGGCCTATGAGAAGGGAGTTGCAATATTCAAGGCATACATATTAAAAAAACTAATCTCATGGACCTAGATTTTGAATCTCTGAAGAATAAATATGTCTTACAAATTAACCATAGCATACATTTATTATCCGAAAAATCTGAAATCTGAGAAAATAATTTTTAAAATCCAAGCAAATTTAATATTAGCATGCCAGTCAGTTAAGCATTCAAGCTAGAGGTTGGTGAATTTTTGCAGAAAAATCTAGCATTTTACATAAATATATGTATGTAGAGAAATCCCGTTTACATATATAGCTGGTGGAATTCCTGACGCCTAAGTACAACAGCAGACAATTGGTATGCTTTAACATTTTTTACTGGGGGGTGTGGCAAAAATGGAGCGGAGTTCCCCCTCAACCCTCGTTTTCGTGTTCTATCTGTTTATCTGAGGCATTTCTAGTCCTGACAATCCCCCCTGCATTCCTGTGAGGCAAAGGTTATCTCCTGGCAGATGGTGTGGGGGACAACCAGACAGCCATCCATTGTATGAGGTGTCATTTTTATCACCCAAAACTATGTAAGCCCACTCATTATCAAACCTCTCAGGGTATTCCAGTTTCTGACTGACTTTTAAGTGAGTTAGAGAAACTCTGGGGCACAGTCAAACTTGGTGGAGGAGGTGACTTGACCAACTAAGCTCCGATATTGGGCTGTGAGTTCAGCATGACAGGGGGCACAGTCAAACTTGGTGGAGGAGGTGACATTGGGCTGTGAGTTCAGCATCAGGAATTTCAGTGACATTACCCACCAAACATCATTATATCAAATACTGAAATGTCAGGACCCTGTTATACACTCTGGGCCATATATCAGTAAAAAGTGCAAATAAAGATGACTATGCTCTAATGTTAACTTAAAACTAAGAGAAGAAAATGTATTACATCTGTATAAAGGTGCTTTCTTAACTTTATTTCAGGTACTTATATAGTGCCGTCAATTTACGCAGCGCTTTATATATATATTGTACATTCACATCAGTCCCTAACCCTCAAGGGGTGTACAATCTAAGGTCCCTAACATACATTCATACATACACATATTAGGGCCAATTTAGACAGAATCCCCAATTAACCTACCAGCATGTCTTTGGAGTGTGGGAGGAAACTGGAGTACTCGGGGGAAACCCACACAGGCACAGGGAGAACATGCAAACTCCAGGCAGGTGGTGCCGTGGCAGGGATTTGAATCGGCGACCCTAGTACTGCCAGGCAGAAGTGCTAACCATTTAGCCATTCTTGTTTGCATGCAGAGGTTTACAGGCACAGATAAACTAAGACGTATTTTCTTCATTAAGAATAAGAATCCATGCACACGGGGCTTAAAAAACGTCAGTTCTATTGTCCGAAAAAAACACTCGTATAGAGCGTTTTGTACATGTGTTAAGGTGCATTTACCATTTCTTTCTGCCAGAAAGTTCCTCTCAAAATTGCAATCCTGATGGGTTTATTTTTCTGCCTCTAAACGCTGAGCTTAAAATATACCTCTAAACATCCTAATGTGCAAAAACTCATAGGATAACATTGAGCTGCTTCTACAGGCTAAACACCTGTAGAAGCAGCACTTTTTAAGCCCAGTGTGCATGGACCCTAAAAGGCACCTGTCAGCTTAACATTCTTTTTTTTTTGGACTGGTGGCCACTATGCCCTTTATTCCTCCAGCCCTTGGTCTTGTAACTTCCCCTCTGTAGTTCTTTTTGCAGTATGTAGTAATTATATCACCACTCACTGCAGTGGGAGGACACGTAAGTCTCAGACTCCTGGTCTAAACTGCCTACTGTAACTGCGATGTGTGTTATTTATGTGGTAACCGCCTGTAAAGGTTTTTACATTGACTTCCCAACCTGGGTCTAGACTGCTTAGAGCAGTATATTCCACAACTCATGGACCTGCATTGCCTTATTTTGGATTGAAGAGAACATGTACTGTGTTTGTTTAAAATCCAAAGGCTAGCCACTGTGTTGCATGTGAGAAAAACTAACTGCAGCATTATCTGTGCCGCCTCAACACTTCTCAATTTGCCAGCAGTAATCTGTTAATTACATCTACTCAGTTTACAATCCTGCTCCTGCCATTCATAAACTTTCCCTTTGTAGTATCGCGGTTGTTTTGATACATTATTTAGGTTGTTTTGCATCAACTAGATTCAGTCTATTTTCAGTGTCGCAAAAGAGCTGCTACCTCCAGCACTATGGTTTGTCATTTTCCTCATTTTCAGTGGATACATTGTTAATTTCTATATGCTCAAGTTTGAGCGGAGGTTTATGAAGTTTAAGACATAAATTTGCTGATGATCAGACGTTGACGTGTAAGTCATTTTCACTGTGGACTCCTTGGTTTTATATTGACAACATTGTCAAGTTTGTAATGGTGATGGGTGGAGCTATGTATATATATTTTTTTGTATGGTGAATTTTTCACATGTATATTATTTCATGGTTCTTTAATACAATTTGTTATATAAATTAAACTAATTGGATTACGGAAGTTACCTTCTTTCATTAGGGTTCTTTCCCTTCAAAATTTTTTATGTCTCTACGTCTTGGGTACGGAGAGCCACATCTTATATGGTGTAATAGTGGACTTGAACTTTGCTCCTTTTCCTTTTTTAGGGTTCTGCTGTAATTACAGTATTACCCTAATTTTTTTTTATATAATTCATGTTTTTGAGTTTGTGACTCTTTCATTATTTAGGGGTACATTTTTGAATCTTGATTGTCTCCACCCCTCACCTTTCAATATATTTATTTTATACCCAAATTGGTTCAGAACATTCTGGCTATGGCCTTTAAACTGGGGGAGGATATTGACGTGGAAAACTTTTGTAAGGGAATCTAATCAGCCATCAAATGATATGGCTGAGATAATTAAAGAGAAATGTAAAAATTACAAAAAACTTATGGTAAAATAATTGAATAGGAAATGGGATATCTCATCCATTGAATCTTATATTGAACATGGTATGATTTCTAGAGGCCTCTGAGAAAAGGTAGTCCCAGCAGAGCACCTTCATACAGAACTCTTCCTAGCAAAATGGAGGCAATCATGTCTTCAAAGGGGTACTGAAGTAGTTCTACTCATTATGGAGAAGGAGAAATTTAAATTAGAGGAATTACAGAAACAAATTGAGAGCAGTGTTGTGGAACTGGATCCCTTCAAAGATGAGCTGGAATTTGAAAGACACAATGAGTTATTAAAAAAAGAAATGAAGAAAACTAAAAAAAATCTTAAAGCCACTAAACAGCTCAAATTTAGAAGGGCTCTTGAGGACTGGAATAAAGATCAGAATTTTGATTTAACTGTTCGAAGGGGAAGGAGTTGTTCACGCCGTCGCCAATTTACTCCTAGTCACAGGATTCAACCCAGAAATCTGTAATTTTTTTTAAAGGATTCTGGGTCCAAGGGCCAGAGGTCCAAGCAGTCGAAGGAACTAAACAAGGGCATTTTAGTAGACAGAAATCAGGTGGAAAGAAGGGAAATGAAACCCACAAGATGATCCAGAAGCCAGAGGAAATAATAAAACCCTAAACAGTAAGGCCACAAACGCATATTGAGGATCTGAAGGTTATAAATCTTTCAGATTTTGTCTTGCAGGATAGACATATTAAATGTTTACAAAGGGGTCTGTCCTTCTCACCTACTAGTGGTATGGATGAGTTTGAGGTGTTTAAAGACCTCAACCTGTTCCTTAGAAAAGTGGTATTCAGGACCTTTTTTGTTAGATCTGATGAACCTGTCACCTAGGAAGATACTCCCTCTAATAATCAAGAGCTACAAGCCCTGAGTGCTTTAAATTAGTCTTTTGGAGGAAAGCCCCAACTCTGAGTTGGATATGGAATAATTGACCTCACAATCCATGAGGACTGTGGACTTAAATATTAAGTTAACAAAAATAACTCCCTTACAGAATAACAAATGGGATAGCTTCTTTTGGAACTTGTCCAGAAGGACCTCAGAAAGGTAAATTGGTCCTTTAATTTGGGTGACAACTTATCTAAAGAGGAATGCAGAGCAAATTAAAAAATGCTTCGAATATTGTAATAAAATCTAGTGACAGGGGTGGAAATGTGGTACTACTGAATGATTATGACTAAGTTGCAGAGGCAACTGGATGACCATACAACTTATTTGAAGTTGTCTCAATATCCCTTCCCAAAGGTAGTGTACCAACCTAATGGCAAATTTCTGTTGACAAAAGAGGCTGGTCTAATTTCTAAAAATTTGTTTAACTATTTGAGGGTTGAAACCTTTAATACCCCTACTTTTTATGTTATCCAAAAGATTCATAAAAACCCTCTGAAACCTTCTGGAAGACT